CCCTCTAGATATCTTCCTGAAAGAATTAAGAGCACCATGCTATAATGATATACAAAGTAGCACAATTTATAATAGTTAAATCTTAGAAACAGCTCATTTGCCCACCAACAGATGAATAGATAGAAAAAATGTGGTATTTATATACAATGGAGTACTACTCTGCTGTAAAGGATAAATTTGAGTCATTTGTAGGAAAATGTATACACCTCAAGACCATAGTCTTAAGTGAAACAAATCAGACACACAAGTTTAAATATTGCATTGTTTCTCTTGTGTGATCAACCCAAAGGATAAACAAGGAGCATAATGGAGGATAGATTTTGGGAAGTAGGAAGAACATGTTCAAATGAGAAGGGGAACAAGGGAGGGAGAAAAGGGAAGGGAAGGAAGAGAAAAGGAAAATAAAAGAACACAAGGAAAAAATGGAAACAGCTTTTGTAAATGGAGAAGAAAAGGATTGAAGGGGGCTATGTGGGAAAAAAGAAGAATCATGATATATTATGTACAGGTATAAATTCCCTATGATGAATGTGATCCATATGTATGACAAATATGTATTAATGAGAATTGATAGAGTTCTCTACCAGACAAAATGGCCCCAACCTTCCTACATTCTTAGATGGCGCCTGATCCTAAAATGGTTTCCGCTTACAGAAATGAGCCACTTGGTTGGTGAGGAGGAGTGAAACCTACCCCTTCGGGAGAAGCAAAACCTAATTTGTTGTTCCACCCTACTACCTGCGTGATCCTCTTTTTTCATCTGAATTTAGGAAAATACCTGGGACCTGGATGCTGGATGGATGCATATTGAGGTTATACTCTTAAGTGAAATAAGTAAGTCGCACATTTGTAAATACCGAATAGTTCCTCTGGTGTGCGAGACTATAATCGTAAATAAGATCCTAATGGTATAATTGACAATGTGTAACAGGAAGAAAAGGGCTAAAGGTGTAGGGGAAGTGGGAAGGGTAGGGGAAAGGAAATAAGGGAAAAGAAAAAAAAATGAGAAAATGAAAAAAATGGAAACAAAGTGTTTGTAAATAGGGAAGGGAGGAGGGGGTGAAGGGAGGGTGGGGACAAGGGGAAAAAAGGAGAACCAAGACCTGGCATGTAAAGGTACAAGATCCCAATGATGAATGTAACTGTACTGTCTACCTAAAATGTACCAATAAACTCAATGAGGAAAAAAATTTGAAATCAAAAGGAGTGATAAGGTACAGAAAGATAGTTGCTGCTTTAATTTTCTTTTTCCCTCTGAATAACTTGGAACTGAAAATGGGAAGGATCTGCATGGGGAGTCCAGCATCCAGGTCCCAGGTATTTGCCAAACCCCAGAATAGCCTATTATACTTTTTCCCTCCTGAATAATGTGTGAGTAATTGGCTAATATCTTAGTTTAAGGGACCTTTAAGGTCTTACACCTCCAGGTAGAAGAGACCACCTACTAGGAGTACCTGAAGCAGAGTGACACAAGGTAACAGCTATTGATATACTACTGAATACACAGCTGTCCATACAACTATCTGCAAGTGGTCACTGGAGTCACATTTCCCACCCCACTCCCCACAGGGTATGTCAACAGCATTTATATGCAATGGAGCAGCCTTGGAAAGCGAGCCCTGCTGAACAGAGCCGCTCAGTGCTACATTACAGACGACTGCCTCAATTTAAAGGCAGACAAGCTCACTCACTAGAGTTCTACCAGAATGTAAAATACCCCTTCCTCAAACTAGGGTGAAATGGATGAGAGTTGGGAGCAGACATTCTAAGATAGTATGGGCAAATCACCAGCCTTAATTCTATCCTTTTGGTAAAAATCATTTTGAGGCCATAATCTTAAGTGAATGAAATAGGACACACACATGTAAATACTGAACAGTTTCTCTGCGGTGAGAACTGAAAATGTAAATAAGGGTCAAAATGTATAATAGATAATGTGAAATAGGAAGAAAGGGTCCCAAAGGGGAAGGAGAAGTGGGGGCATAGGAGAAGGGAAAGGAATAAGTATGAGAAAAGGACAAAATGGAAACAAAGTCTTTGTAAATAGAGAGGGGTGGAGGGGCTGAAGGGAGGACAGGGTAATGGGGTAAAAATACGAACCAAGACATATCATGTAAAACTACAAATTCCTGATGATGAATGTTATCATGTTTATACCTAAAATGTACCAATAAACTTAATTAACAAAAAAAATTATAATTTAAAAAATTAAAGCACATACATTTGAAAGTCACAGCCAGGCCCTGTAACAAGGAAAAAGCTTGTTTGAAATAACAAAAAATGAAGGAAGCCAATTTAAAAAATCATTAGTTTACAAGGTATGGTGGGTTAGGAGCTCTGCTATTTAGTATAGCGGTTTGTCCCCAGTCCAGGCCAAACCTACAGACATTGTTGATATAATTTCATGCTGGGGTCGGGGCATCGATTAGGCACCTTAGTTGAAGCTGTTAGAAGGCCAAGTAAACTTCAAGCAGTAATAGATTGCCTTGCTAGGAGACGCCTCTCCTGGCACAAATGGAACATTGGTCCCAAAGAACTCCTCCCCTTTCTCCCACCCCAGTAGTTTAGAATTTTCGGATATAATTGCATCTGAAAAAGAGAAGATTTGTATCTGGGTGGCCTATGAACTTTCTTGATTGCTTCAGAGACTGTGATAATGCTAAAGATTTGGTGGTGGTGATAATGCAGTTTGCGTTACTAGTTGAGGGCTGACGCCTGCTCTGCTAATTGCAGTTATAATTCCTGCCACGTGAGGGCACTATTAGAAAGCAGAAAGTGATCGGGAAGGTTGTGCCTTCAGGCTGCTCAGCGATCAACTAGGATATTTGGTAGTCGGGACAAGCAGAGAAAGAAATTTTCATGTGTTTTAAGACAAAAGAGCAGTACATGATAGCAGAACATGATAGTTCTTGTAGGCAAATTAAAGAGATTCCCTTGAGGCATTGGTACAATGCTGCAAAAGGTACCCTTGGCCTCTCCTCGGGCTGGAGATTATCCTATCAATAACGGAGAGCCAATTCCTGTGCACACTTGCAAGGTGGAAGTAGAGTCCTTCTCCTCATCCCCTATTCCATCTGATAAAGGGACTGAATTAGATATTCGTGTCTGCTTGCGTCCTGGCTCAGGAAAGGGGAACATAACTCTGAAAAGACATAAGGAACACTGGAAGCAGGCTCTAGATGAGGGGCTGGCAGTTTGGTGGGGACCAAAGCGGAGTAGGGACTTAGAATATTAACTAGATAAACTGGTCACACACTGGAGAGGATGAAGCTGGGTTTCACGGCAGAGATTAAATCCACTTCAAAAAGAAGAATAGCAACCAGGTGAGGCTGGGAGTTAGCCAGGCCAAGATAATGCTGCAAAAAACTTTTCTTCTGAGCTTTAAATTCTCCAACAACAGTTTAGGCTGAGTCTATAAAAGTATACAGTGAAGCTGGGCATGGTGGTGCATGCCTATAATCCAGCACTCTGGGAGGCTGAGGCAGAAGGATTTCAAGTTCAAACCCAGCCCAGACAACTTAGTAATTTAGTGAGTACCTGTCTCAAAAAAAAAAAATAAATAAAGTTCTGGGGTATAGCTCTATGTGAAGGTCATGCGTTTCATTCCAAGCACCACCCCCAAAGTATACAGTGAAAAAGTTTTTTTTTTTTTTTTTTTTTTTTTTTATTGGGGAATGGGGATCAAACTTGGGACATGTGCTTGTGAAGCAAGCAGCAGAACCACTGAGCTAAATCCCTCAAGTATTCATTTTTGTTGTTGGAGTTGTTTTTTTAATCCTTCTACTAGCACCTTAGAAGTTGTACCTATAACACCTATGAATCCAGAGGCTTCCATGAATGAATTCAGAACCATAAGACTGACTGTAGTGGAAAATAGGAATTCTGAACTTGATTCACATCAGTCAGGCTTCACATTAGCTCATGTTAAATTTTATGTGAATCTCATGTTCTCTAACAGTCCCAAACTTCCGGAGTGATCACTCTTATGTCCATCCACCTCCATGTCCATCTTATGCCCATCGTGGTACCCCCCCCATGTGACATGAGTCCACTGCCTGGGGCGTGTGGCTGGTTGCCTTTTCATTCTAGGTATTTCTCTCAGCCTTGTTTATGTATCACAGAAATGCAGAAACCATCTGCCTAGATCTGGGTCTCCACAAAGAATGGGGAGAGGAAGGAGAGGGCTAGGGCTAGGGAGCAATTACTAATTTTCCCAATTAAGGGTTAGCTTTTCATAAGAAAGCAGAATCAAACTTTAAATGCATTCCTTACTGGCTCACTCACATATATGGCCTGAGGTGTCTAATGGGGGAATACAAGCTAGTGGAGGAATATGAGCTTGTATTTGTAATTTACTTTGGGATGTGACCTACCCTCTGTGGCCAAAGAAATGTCAGCGTCTCCAACCTGAGAGCCGCACTGCTCTGCTGTCCTGCCATTTCTCCTCTTCTAAAAGGTCTGTATTACTATTTATATAGACTGTAGATCTGTTATTTTCTTTGGTTCTTTACTAAAGCTAAAGATGCCAATAGCTTGTTTGCTCAATGTCCCTATTCTCACTGAAGCTTGTATTTGTTTCTCTCCCCGACTTTCTTTTTTTTTTTTTTTTTGACATGGTGTCTCATTGTGTTGCCCAGGCAGTTCTCAAACTCCTGGACTCAAGTGATCCTTTGGCCTCTGTCTCCTGAGCAGCTGGGACTGTAGGCACACACCATAAAACCTGGCTTTGATTTTTTTAAAAAAAAGAATATTGCACATATAGTAACTATGTGGGAGATAGAGGTAGTTTTAAATTCTCATATGTGTAACATAGGCAGTGTCTTTGTTGAATATAATAGATTATAGATTGTGTCCCTATTTTTTAAAAAAAACTTACAATTGTAACATTTTCTTCTAAAAATTTATGAGCCACTAGTTTTACTCTAATAAAAATATCTTAATTACAATTGCATTCTATTTCTTTTGGTGTCACTTTAGACTATGAGTAAGTGGAAATTTACCTCTGATCTTTTTATCAATGAGCTGTAAATTAACTTTCACATGGCTAGCAGTTGGGTCAAAGGCACAAATACGCTCCACTAAGTATTTGTTAATATACTGTGAATAAAGAACAAAAGGAAAGTCATGGAATCACTAACAAGAAGAGATACAGTACTCAGTTCATATGATTACATTTATATACATTTTAAAAAATCAAACCAACCTATAATGTTAGAAGTCAAGACCATGGCTATCATTGGGGTGTGTGGCTTGGGTGGTGGGAGTTTGGGGGAAGGGTACAAGGAGGGCTTTGCGGATGTTACTAATGTTCTGTTTTTGTTTTTTTTTTTTAAATTCAGGTGCAGGTTACATAAATGCTTTCACTACGTGAAGATCCTTTCTTTTGCACACTTATGAATTGTGCCATTATAATTCATACATGTAAATTTGTATAGGTTGTTAGTCAACAAAAAGAGTGGCTAAAAAACGTACAAATTTGCACTTATCCCAATTTTCCAAGTCATCTGAAAATTCCAACTCTGGATGAAAGAATAGGATAACTCCTTTCAGGATGTCATGTACTAGGGTTACATTGGGTTCAGACTCCTGGGACTTGCTGTCTTGAGGAGAATTTGGCTCTGCTTGAGGTCCATACTCATAGAGCAACAGTGACACAAAGTCCATGGAATTGAGTAGTTGGAGGCATTCCCGCAGCTCCTGCAGCATGATTCGAAAAAAGAGAATTCCTGCCCGCTGGACTTCTCCTGCTTTTTCAATGTCTGTAAAAACAGAATAAATAACATCTTACACTGATATTCGGTCACATTCATTCTGAGCATATAGGATTCTGAGCATATTCTAGTAAACATTTTTCTTCATCAGGAAAAAAGATCGGTCCTATGATTTCTTAATTTCTTTGGCAATAAAATCAAAAGAGAACTGGAATTTCCCTCAGTGCAGGTCATAGGAAGAAAGCTCTGAGAAAAGACAAAACTTTACTTTTAGGGTTAGATCTTAGTTTAAAACATACTCTTTCACTTATTAGTTCTCTTTTTTTTCCCCCTCTTTTTCTTTTTTCTGGTACTACGTATCGAACCCAGGACCTTGTGCTTGCGAGGTAGGTGCTGTGCCACTGAGCTAAATCTTCAGCCTGTCTACTTTTTAAAATATCTTCTTCCTTTTTTGTTAAAATGAGGCTAATCCATACTTCCCTGGTGAGCTATGGGAATTAAATGAGATTTTATATATATATATATAAAAGCATATAATCTTAGGCTTTATATATAGTGAAACTCTGGAGTTTTCATCTTCCTCTTCCTCTTGGTCCTTCTTCCCTTCCTCGACTGCTCTTCTTTTCCCCCTTTTCTTCTTCCTCTTTCTCTTCTTTTTCTTTCTCCTCCCTCTCCTCCTCCTCCTTCTGAGACAGGGTCTTTCTATGTTGTCCAGGTTGGTCTCAAACTCTTGAGCTCAAGTGATCCTCTTGCCTTAGCCTCTTGAATAGATGGGATAATAGGAGACTACCGCCGTGCCTACTTTTCTTCTTTCTCATCCCATTCTATGTAATGGTTAAAAAAGCGGCCTGCCTAATCTCAAATAGTGTTACTGTAATTCTATCCACTTCATTCTAGCCACGCTAGCTTCCTTCTTTTTGCCCCCCACCCCAAGCTGATGTTGTGCTAAGAGTAGCCTAGTAGAAATGGAGTCACAAGAACTGAGATCTGGTCTTGGCTCTGTCACTAGCTTGCTATTGGACCTTGGAAAATCCATTTTACTTTTGGGTTTTAACTCCTTTATCTGTAAGATGAGATGTTCTGACTGGTTAATGCTGTGTAATGGGAAGCACCCCAAAACCTGGGTTTAAATCCAGCCTTCGCTATTTTTTTGTTTGCTTTTCTCTGAATCTCACTTTCCTTACCTATAAAATGGGACATCACCATTTAGATCATATGATTATAAGGATTAATTGAAAGAACATACTTAAAGTATTGAAATCGGGCCAGGGATTTAGCTCAGTGGCTTCACTGCCTGCCTTGCAAGTGCAAGGACCTGAGTTTGATCCCTGTACCACAAAAAAAAAAAAAAAAAAAAAAAAAAAAAAAAAAAAAAAAAAAAAAAAAAAAAAAAAAAAAAAAAAAAAAGTGCTTAAATCATGATAGGGCATTTAATAATGCTAGTTCTATCTTGCCTTTATGAGTCCTTTCAGCTCTAAAACTATATAGTTCTAACCAAGATAATATGATTCCATGTCCTTTGCTTTAGCTTATAGACCATGAACATAAGGCTATTACTGCATAGGGGAATTATTTTCACACGGAAAGATCTATGTATTGAAATAATTCATGTTAGAAAAGGAATCCTTCCTCACATTGCTTGTGATTTCCCCAAAACCTATTAAACCCATGAACCCACATTAACTGTACCTAAGATAATGTTTTTCTTCATCTCTCCAGAGAATTCACCCAGTATTTCAGAGCAGGCTGCATAGATCACCTTCATCATTTTCTGTAGATCTTTATATTCTTGGTATAACAACATTCTGTTGTGGCCAATGTTAACATCGAGGAGTCCCAGGGCCTCTCCTGTCCTCTCACGAAGTGGAATTACTATGTGGGTTTCCCCACAAGCAGAGGCCAAAACAACTTCTGAACTGTCTATACACTTAAAAAGGAAATCTCTGAAACAAAACCCAAATAAGCACAAGGACATTAAACATCATCCTGCTCACAGTGTTCTACCCAAACATGCAGAATTACTCTCTCTTGCATCCACCTCATTCCCACCACCAAGCCCTTGTTACTGTTTCATCTGCTTAGAAGGCCATACCCCTTGATTTCACTTGGCTCTGCCCGTCAGCTCAACTCAGCTGGATATTTTAAAATTATTATTATTATTTTACTTTTTGTGGTACCGGGGATCGAACTTGGGAACCATATGCTTGCAAGACAGGCGGTAGAACCACTGAGCCAAATCCCCAGCCAACTCAGCTAGACATTTCTCTGCTCAGACATCCCTTCAGCGGAGAAGCCTTCCTTACTGCCCAGTCTAAAGTAGAAGCAAGTCAGTCTGCATTTCTTTGTCCTGCTTCATTGTCTTATCATATAGATATTTATATGGAAATGTTCATTTTTTTTTCTTTACTTATTGCCCAATAAATACTTGTTAGTTGAATGCCAGAATGAGTAAGGAGTGTGTTAGGTCAGTTTCCCTAGAAGCAGATCCTGACAAGGATGCTTATGCAAGTAATAGAATGAGGGTGTGTTCTCTGGAGAAACCTGAGAGGGACTGAGGGAAGCAGGCTAGAGAAAGGGGAGAAGCTAAGTAGGAATGTAATTTCAGGTGAAGTTTAGCCTCAGCCTGAACCTAAAGGGGAGATCTGGGAAGTCCATTGTTCTGCTGTGAGGCAGGGGAGGGGGTCTTTGCATCCTTGTATTAGTCAAATTATTGGTTGTACGCTGCTTTGACGTGTGTTGGCAGTCCTGGGGTAGGAGAGAGTTCCCTGTAACCCTAAGGTACTCTGGTGAGAGGCTCCAATCCCTTAAGGGCCACCGTCAAAGAAACTTACAGTGTGAAGCATTGCTACCTACAGTGGAACTGACAGCAGCTGGCGAAAGGCGTCTTGGGGGTCTAGGCAGGGCATCTACAAGGTCTGCTTTAGTGAGACACTGAGATTTTCATGAAAATATAGTGCCGGCTTCTTTCTCTAGTGAGGCATAGACACATCTCTTTTTATCTCTTTTTCCCCATGCTGGGATGCCGCCCTTCTAATCTTTGACAAAAGGGCCAACCACCTTCATTGGAAGATAGTCTCTTTAATAAATGGTGATAGGGTCCTGGGGATGAGTTTGATCCCTGGTACTGGAAAAAAAATGGTGCTGGGAAAACCGCTTTCCATATACCCACATCTCTCACTATATACTAAACTAAAATCAAAAGGCATCAAAGAGCTAAATATTAAAACAGAAGCAATCTGCTGGAAGACAAAATAGGTAATTCTTGAAGACAGAGGTGTAGATAAAGACTTTATGAACAAAATCTTGATTTTACAGGAAACAATATAAAGAATCAACAACTAGACAAAGGAAACAAAGTCTTAGTAAATAGGGAAGGGTGAGGGGGTGAAGGGAGGGCAGGGGTATGGGGGAAAAATAAGAACCAAGACATATCATGTAAAGGTACAAGATCCCAAGAATAAATGTAACTGTATTATTTGCTTTCAATGTACCAATAAACTTAATGTAGAAAAAAAAAAGCATCAAGAACTGGGATCACATCAAATTAAAAACCTTCTTCACAGTGAAGGAAATCACCAACAGAGTGAAGAGAGAATCCACAAAATGGAAAAAAATTTTGCTAGCTACTTCTCAGAAGACTAATATCTAGAATATACAAAGAACTAAAAAAATTAGACTCTCCAAAAACGGCCATCCAAAATGAAAAGATACTTTTCAGATGAAAAAGTACAAGCAGAAAATAAATACATGAAAAAATGTTCAACATCCCTGGTCATTTGAGAAATGCAAACTAAAACAACACTCAGATTCCATGTCACTCCAGGAAGAATGGCTGCTATGAAGAATTCGACCAATAAGAAGTGTTGGCAGGGCTTTGGGGAAAATGGAACCCTTCTCCATCGTTGGTGGGAGCGTAAACTGGTACAACCACTCTGGAAATCAGTATGGAGATTCCTCAAAAAACTAAAATTAGAGGTTCTGTTTGACCCAGCTATTTCCCTTCTAGGTATCTTCCCAAAAGAGTTAAAGTTACCATACCACAGTGATACATACACACCTATGTTTTCAGCAGCACAATATATAATAGCTAAATCTTGGAAACAGCTCACATGTCCACTAGCAGATGAATGGATAAAGAAATTATTTTGGGCCTGGGATGTAGCTTGGTGGGGCCTCACCTGCCTAGCAAGTATAAGGTCCTGAGTTCGATTCCTGGTACCAGAAAATATGTTATTTATATGCAGTGGGGTGCTACTCTTCCGTAAAAGATAAGCTTGAGACGTTTTTAGGTAAATGGATGCATCTTGAGACCATAATCTTCAGTGAAATAAATCAGATACACAAGTTTAAATACTGCATTGTTTCTCTTGTGTGAGAAACTCCAAGTGTAAGTAAGGAGCAAAATGGAGGATAGATATTGGGAAGTGGGAAGAACATGTTAACTAGGCAAGAGAACAAGGAAGGGAGGAAGGGACGGGAAAAAGAAGAGAAAGGGATTTTAAAAAGAATTGAAGGAAAAAATGGAAACAGAGCTTTTGTAAATTGGGAGGGGAAGACGGGAGGGGAGGGGAGTGGAAAAAATAATTAAGATATATTATGTACAATATAAATTCCCCATTATGAATGTGATCATTATGTATGGCAAACATATACTAATAAAAATTTAATTAATTAAAAAGAATTCTAGTGCTAGCCAGGCATGGTGCTACATGCCTATAATCCCTGATATTTGGGAGGCTGAGGCAAGAGGATCACAAGTTTGGAGCCAGCCTGGGAACTTCAGGGAGACCATGTTTCAAAATAAAAATTAAAAGGGCTGGGATATAGTTTAGTGGTTAAGCACTTGCCTAGCATTTGTGAAGCCCTGGGTAAATCTGCATCATCATCATCACCACCAAAAACAAGTGAACAAACAAAAAAACAACAAATGCTTCGCCTACCCTCAAAAAGCATACTTAAAAATGAGAACCAAGACCTGTCACGTAAAGGTACAAGATCCCAGTGATGAATGTAACTGTACTGCGTACCTAAAATGTACCAATAAACTCAATGAGGAAAAATAAAAGAAGCATACTTACAATTCAGAATATCATTCTTATAATAACAAATGAGTATATCTTTCTTCTGCTATTCCCATCCTTTGCTGCTGCTGAGCTACCACTTTATATATTTATGAAAACCGTAGTTATGATGTATCATACTAAAATTTCCAGGCATAGTAATAATAAAGCTTATCACAAGAATTCCTCCAAAGGCATCTGCTCTAAATCACACACAGGAATCCAGATTTCTGGAGCCTAGGTGTTACAAGGACTCCAGTAAAATTCTTTTTTTTTCCCCCAATTTCAACTTTTATTAACACATGTTTGTAGTACCTATCCAGTAAAACCCTTGACTAGCACAAGGGCTAACTATGTAAATAGGGCTTGAGACAGAATGAACATTCTGGTATGAGGCTAAATGCAAATTTACTAATATACATACTCAAATGTCAAATGAGCCTACTAGTCTGAGATAGAGTTAATGTACACTCAAGTACATGGATGCCCTATGAAGCAGTCAGTTCTTTTTGCAAGACATGTGTTCTCAGTTAAGATCCATTCGGCATCTGTACAATTTAGTAGAATTCCTTGCCTTCCACAAGTGACAACTCTTCTAAGCATTTTAAAACTGGGATTTATTGAATACAACATTGTCTACTTTATCCTTCTTTTTTCCACTGCTGAACTCCTTTAAATACAAAACAAATGCTCGCAGGCTAGTTAACATTAACTGATGAACTCTGGTAAATGATATGGAAGGATTATTCCTAATCACATCAGAGTTTTGTTGAGTTAACTGTTTAAAAGACATTCACAGGAAGTAAAACATGGTCACACCTTAAAACATGTAAATCTTTTATCTCCCTCTCTCTCCCTCCCTCCTTCCCTCTTTTCTTCCTTCCTCCCCTCCCTCCTCCCCCCGCCTCTTCCTTTCTTTTGGTGGTACCAGGGATTGAATGGGGCACCATACAACTGAACTGGGTCTCCAACATCCTCAGCCCTCCCGTCTTTATTTTTATTTTGAAACAGGGTCTCAATACATTGATCAGGCAGGCTTGGAATATGTGATCAATTCTGCCTCAGCCTTCAAAATAGCAGGGATTACAGATGTATATGATCGTACCTATGTAAAAAACTCCATAAATTTAATATAAAATTCCTATGAAATTTGTTTTACAAAGGACCTTAGGGAAAATGACCAGGCAGATAATGTTCTTTTTTTCCATTCAATTTATTGATACATTTTAGGTATACAATACAGTTACATTCATCATTGGGATCTTGTACCTTTACATGATATTTCTTGGTTCTTATTTCTTCCCCATTCCCCTGCCCTCCCTTCACCCCCTCTACTCTTTCCTATTTACAAAGACTTTGCTTTCCTTTTTTCTTTTCTCATATTTTTCTTTACTCTTCTTTCCTTTCCCCTTCCCTTCCCACTTCCCCTACTCCTTTAGACCTTTTCTTCCTATTACACAATATCAATTATACAATTTGAACCTTATTTACACTTTTAGTTTTTCACACTAGAGAAACTGTTTGGTAGTTACACATGTGTGTCCTATTTATTTCACTTAAAAGGATGACCTCAATGTGAAACCATTTAGCTATAGATGTCTCTAGTTTCTCTTTTTTTGGGGGGCGGGGATCAAACTCAGGTCCTTGAGCTTGTGAGGCAGGTGGTGGGACCACTGAGCTAAATCCCTAACCCTCTAGTTTCTCATTATGGTTGAGTAATACTCCAGTTTATAAAAAAACCACATCTCTATCCAGTCTCCAATTGATGGGCTGTTCAGGCAGATAATGTTCTATAGGAATTTTTCTTTAAAAGTCAGACAGAGAATAGATCAGTGGTTTCCATGTTTAAGGACAGGTTGAGAGACTGGTTAGAAGTGTTAGAATTGTCCTGTACCTATTTGTGCTAGTGATTTAAAAATATAAGCATTATTAAAATTCACAGAACTGTAAACAAACAAAAATAAGTGACTTTTGCTGTATGCATATTTTGGTATATGTAAATTCTAAGTTTATTAGAATGGGTCAGTGTGTAGTAATAATCAGATCTACTGTCACATAGCAAAGATATCTGGTAGTCAAACAAAACAGACATGTCTCATACCTGAAGATGCATGATTTCCTGAAAATGGTAGGAGGACTTGTGTGGATTTCTGTTAGACCCAGCTGCCCTGTAACCATCATATTGCGTAAAACATAGTCTGAATCCTTGACAAGAGAAAGATTTCATTAAGAGAGAAATTATTAGACCTCATAGTCTCATAAAAGTTTTGGGGACAGAAATGCAGAGAAAAATCAGAAGACTTTAAATGAACTCTAGCTTTGAGAACAATGACATTTTACTTATTTAGTACCACAAAGGCACAAAATGTTTGATACCAGAAAATTTTTTAAAGAATAAGATTTTTAAAAAACACATAACCTTTGTTTAGTACTGGAGACTGAACCCAGGGCCTTCATACTGGGTTATATCCCAGATCTTTTTAATTTTTATTTAATTTTTTAAATTTTGGGACAGGGTCTCACTAAGCCAGTGAGTTGTCCCTACCAGTACTTCACCAATGATGTTCTTGTCAAGGTTGTGAGTGACTCATTTTCAAATCATTGGTCAATCCCTAGACTTCATCTTCATCTCCCTCTTGGCAACAGTTGATTCAGTGAATAACTACCTTCTTGAAATAATTTTCTTCAGGTGGTTTTTGGGACACCACTCTTCCCCGGTTCTCACTAAATATTCCTTGGATTTTTTGCTTCTTATTTATTTCCCTCACTTCTACAGGTTTTCAACCTGTAAATCATAACCTACTTGTAGATTGTGAAAATATCTTAGCAAATCTTGATCAATTTTTTTGTAGGCACTAGCATATAAGAAAGCAGTATTAGGTGGGGATTTAGCTCAGCGGTTCCGCTGCCTGCCTTGCAAGCGCAAGGACCCGAGTTCAATCCCTGGTATAAAAAAAAAGCAGTATTAACATATTCTGTAAAATACACTAAACTTTAGGAAGACAAATTCAATTAGGAAAAGTAAAGTGGAATATTTATCAGCCTTCTTTTAAAAAATAACTTTTGGAGCTGGGTGTGTGACGCACGCCTGTAATCCCAGCACTTGGGAGGCTGAGGCAGGAGGATTGCTGTGAGTTCGAGACCAGCCTGGGCTACACAGTGAGTTTCAGAGCAGTCTGAACTACATAGTGAGACCCTGTCTCAAAAAACAAAAAAACAAAAAAATTTTTGGAATAAAAGAGAAACCAGGATGAGAGGATCCATAGAGACTGTATGCTGAATGTTGCTTGAAGATGAATAAGTGGTTTGTAAGATAAAACTTTCTTTTATCTCTACACTCCATGACCACAAGTATTTTACCAAACTCTTTATTATTATTATTATTATTGTTGGTGCTGGGGATTGAACTCAGGACCTTATGCTTGAGAAGCAGGCAGCAGGACCACTGAGCTAAATCCCCAGCCCCTTACTAAACTCTTTAGATGAAAAATGTTTTCAACATTATATTTGGTAGATGTATATAGCTAAACAGAATACCACAGACTGGGTAACTTATTAAAAATAATAAATTTTGTTTTTCATGGTTCTGGAGGCTAGGAAGTTCAATGTCAAAGTGCTGGCATCTTGCATGGAAAACAATAAAAGAGGGCTAGCAATCAGATTTGCAGACCCCAGCCACTTTATAATCAGTGTTAATTCATTTATGAAATTGGTGTCTCTTGTGACCTAAATACTTCCTAATAGGCCCTACCTTCCTGCAGTGATGCTTTGGGGATTAAGCTCAACACAAACATTTAGGAGGAAACATTCAAACTACAGCATTTAGAAAACTTAAGATTATCCTGCATTGCCAACTGGATTTCTAGCTTCTTTCATGGTTTCCTATTTGTTATATCCCCACCTTATTTATCTATTTATTATTTTTGAGACAGGGTTTCAGTAAGTTGCTAAGTCGCCCAGGTTGGGTGCAAATTTGATAGTCTCCTTTCACACCCACCCAGAGTGCAGGAACTACAGGCATGCACCACCATGCCCAGCCAGAGTTTAAAAAATCTCACCCTGGCTGTGCTTCTAGGTTTAAACCTTTAGCCAGAACCAGACATTTCCTTTCCTGCTTTTCTTTCTGAAATTGTATAAATCTACCACTCTTGCTATTAGACCAGAAGCAAAGGAAGGGCTCATAATAATATGCAAATACTACACCTAAAAATAAGCTTGTTTCTCATTTTATTTTAGTTAGACAAAAAACAATCTATAAATTAAGCAAGCCCCTCAGTGGTTACCTAGTACTTAAAATTTCTTAGGAAAACTTTTCAGTGAAAAGCTCCAAGTATACGCTCCTCCCCAATTTTTTCTTCTGTGAATAATTATTTTTCCCTTGCCTTTCTAATGTGTATTTATTCTCACCTTTCTCGTTACACATGATAGATCTCCTTTGCTTCAGTTTTTATAATCTCTTGCTTTTTTTCTTTTACATTTAAAAAAGGAATTAAGCCGGAGATTTAGCTCAGTGGTGCTGTTGCCTACCTCGCAAGCACAAGGTCTTGAGTTTGATCCCCAGTACGGGGGTGGGGTGGGGGGATTAAATAGAATAGACAATATTAGAAAATATCATATGGAAGCCAGGTGTGGTGGGGCACTCCTGTAATCCCAGCACTCAGGAGGCTGAGGCAGGAGGATTGCTGTGAGTTTGAGACCAGCTTAGGCTACATAGTGAGTTTCAGGTCAGTCTCAACTACATAGTGAGACCCTGTCTCAAAAACACACAAAAAAAAAGAAAGAAAGAAAATATCATATGTAGTAAAACCAGGCAACTACATAGTGTTTCAGGTCAGTCTCAACTACATAGTGAGACCCTGTCTCAAAAACACACAAAAAAAAAGAAAGAAAGAAAATATCATATGTAGTAAAACCAGGCATTGTTTTGTGAAACTTTTGTGTGTGTTTGTGTGCATGTGTGCATTTGTGTCTGTGCGTGCACGCATGTGTGTAAGGGCTCAGAATATGAAATGTTTTTTCATACTGTGGGTCACACTAATAGAGTTTTGAGTCACAGTGATTCCAAATACTTTGAGAGCCTCAGAACTCACTCCTGAGATTTTTTATTTTCTATTCTCACTCATCCCTTTGGTAATTCCACCGATTCTCATGGTTTTACGCTTTATTTTGTCATATTTACTATGGATATATAGAGTAAAATTATCTTTAAAAATATTTATAAGGGTACAATTCAGCAGCATTGAACACATTAAAAATGCTGCAAAGCCCAGGCTCATGGCTTTGAACACTATTAATGCATCAGCCTGGATTTCTCCCCATTCAGCTCATATACCCAACTGCCTACTCGATATCTCTACCTAGATGTCTAATTTCAAATTATAGTCCTTAAAACCTTTTCTAATTTAGTAGTAAAAAGTTACTTTTATTTTGTATTTATTTCGTTAAGAATAATTGAATATTTTTTCACATTTATGGACATTTTACATGAGGTTTTTTATTGTTACTTTAAAATAGGCATGCCCTATGCTTATTTTCCTTTGGATTTAAAAACTCTCGTTGATTTATTTATATCCGTGATTTTCCCCTAGTTTGTCATAAGCTAATTAATTCTGCTTTTACTTTATCACCAGAAATTGAGCCAAGTCTTGCATGTGCCCGGCAAACACTCTAACACTGAGTGGCATCCCCCAGCTCTAATATTTTTTTTGGTATTGGGGATTGAACTTGGGACCTTACACTTGCCAGGAAGGCAGTAGAATCACTGAGCTAAATCCACAGCTCCCCAGCTCTAATTTTATTATAACTTTGGTGCAAGAAAATTTTACATTTTTATGTAGGCCATGTGAAAATTGTTCCAACCTTTGGCATAAGATTAGCAATCATTCCTCAAACCAAGATTATATATTTTCTCTTAATCTTCATAGTTTTAGGTATTCTACAACACTTAAAAATCTTTTATCAAGGAGGAGGGCTGGGGATTTAGCTCAGTGGCACCATGCCTTCTTTGCAAGCACAAGTTTGATTCCTAGGACTGGAAAAAAAAATCATGTTGGGTTTTTTTCTACAAATTTTGTTAAATTTAAAAGTATTGTTTTGGAAGACCTTATACCTTTAAAAAGTGGTCTTCTTGTGAAAAAGACCTTTTACTTCATAAAACTTTTTACTTTATTAAAATATTTATGTTCCTTGAAAACATTTTGTAGTTTGCTTCATAGAGGACCTAAGGGTAATAGAATGAAGTAGAGAGAATGTTCTGGAGAGAGTTACAGAATTTTTGAAGTCCCTAAAGTAGAAAAGTTTTGTTTTCTATTATGGATGATGGAATGTGGAACAGTAATTGTAATACTGCATTTTTTTTCCTTCTGGTAGCCTCTCTCTTTCTCTCTCATTCAAACAGAAAATCTGTAGAAAAGGAATGTGATAAAAGCAGAAATTACTGGCTAGTCTGAATTTTGTCTTTTTTCAAAAGTGAGATATGACTTAAAATAACACACCAGGCACACATGTTGGCCACTTAACTCTCTCAAGACCTTAGGGAAATAAAAGACTGAGCTTTGGATTTCCCCACTAGCTATCAGCCTGGGGCTGCTCTCACCCACTAGAGACCTCGAATCTTTGTACATAGACTTGTGCATCTCAGGACAGGCAATGAGGTGTCACTCTTATCCTGTTCTCCCATCTCTCAGGGACCACAGCCAGACAAGGTTCTTTGTTTTTAAGGACTCATGATTAGATTGGGCTCATCTGGACAACCCAGGATAATCTATCTCTGCATCTCAAATTTCTTAATCTCAATTCTGCAAAATACAGTACCTGTTGTCCTGTAAGGTCAGGCATTCACAGGTTACAGGAATTAGGACATGGATATCTTTGAGGTGAAAGGGCCGTTCTTCTATCTACCATAGATATCTATTTAACAAGTTCATTATTCCAACAAAAGACAGATGATTTTGGGTGATAAACTAAAATAGCCTGGGTTCCATACTGTAAATAATTTGAACCCCCTATTTTTCTCATTTATGGTTATTCACAACAGAGCAAGATGTTTTTCCTTCGTAACTCTGTACTTTACAGGCATGTGGCTATGAGGTGAGTTTGAGCAACTCAGAATGTACTTTATAATTTGTATCAGTCAGGGTGGCAGAAAAATACAGATGGCATACCAGAACTTGGTAATTTGAGGAGACTTTTCCTCCTTTCTTTTCTTTCTTTCTTTCTTTCTTTCTTTGAAACAGGGTTTCATATTGTAGTTCAGACTGGCCTTGAACTTACTATGTACCACAGGCTGCCCTCAAACTAGCAGCAATTCTCCTGTCTCAGCCTCCTGAGTGCTGGGATTACAGGCATGTGCCACCATGTCTTGCCATTGAAGATAGTTTAATAAAGGGAATATTTATGATGTTTCAGGCAGTGTTTAGAACCCTGGCATAGTAGTTAACCACCCTTAGCCTGAAGAGGCAAGGGGAGGAAACAACTACTAGGGTCTAGAGAGGATACCTATATGGGGAAGACACCTGACTAAAGGTGAAGTGGCCTTTAGCAGAACACAGTCAAACCATAGCAACTTTGCAGGGAGAATCAGAAACATAAATATTCCAGCTTCAGTCTCTTTCTGTCCTCCAGCTTCCTAATAGTGGCAAAGCCAAACAAAAGCTAGAGGGCTATGGAGCTCATTGATACTGCATACGTTTTATGATGTAGAACAGGCTGGAAAAGATAGGAAAGTAGATTTAGGGGTCTGCAGATGGTTAAAAGGTTGACTTAGAAAGTTACAATAGTTGAGTGCTTGGAAAAACTTATCCCTGCAGTTACATTTAGTCATTTTTAACACCAAAACCTCATCATGTTGTCTTGCATAGAGGACACAGCTCTTAACTACATCCTTGGACAAGCTATTCTATTCTTACTCAAATCCTGGCTTCTGGGTGGACATTTTCCTCCCCTCCCTTTCAGCAGCCTTCTTTATCACCATAAAATGACCTTGGGTCAGATGGACCATCACCCTTGTGGCTTTGGCCATGTTGTAAAAATTCTGAAATTAATATTATGGAAGCCATGCTTCTTGCACACTTGTTTTAGGCTATTTTGTTCTTTTCCATGATGCTTTAGGTACTGTCTTCCTTAAGACCCTGAAAAAGTGCTTTTGTATCCTCAGACCTGTGTGTATTTGTTCCACTGCAGTAGTGACCTGATAGATGAGGTGCTTTGCTCCAGTACCAAGGCTGGGACTTAAAGCCTCCCATTCCTACCTCTACCTCCAACTCACCCCCACCCCCAGTGCAGAGCCAATAACAAGGTATTTACTACCTCCATAATCTGGCCACCCTACCAAGAGTTCTGTGATTCAATTCTCTATGGCTGAGTCTCCATCCAGTGAGGGAGGGAAGGAAGAACCTGGTGGGAAGGAAGATCCTGGTGGTAAGGAAAGAAAAGAAGCCAAGAGAGATGGGGATAGGTACCTGTTGCAGACAGCCAGGGAACTGGGAGACAACAAGGTGATGTCGCTACTTGATCAGGCACCTCGCAGAGTTGTTTAGTTATTTTTTGAAAAGAAGACAAATTTCTGTCAATTTCATCATACAGAAATCCTAATGTTAAAATTAAGTGTAAAAGGGCCAGGGATTTAGCTTAGTGGTGCTGCTGCTTGCCTCACAAGCACCAGATGCTGAGTTCAACAAAACAAAACAAAACAAAAAATTTAAGTGTAAAGAAGCAAAGTAAACATCCAGTAAGAATTCACCACATTAACTCTTGCCACTCCTATTCAATATAGTACTTAAAATTTTAGCTGAAGCAATCAGTAGGAAAAAGAAATGAAAAGGATGTAAATAGCAAAGGAAGAAGTTAAATTATCCTTGTTTACCATAATATAATCCTATATATAGAAGATACCTAAGACTCCACTAAAAGACTTTAAGAGCTGATAAATGAATTAAGCAAAGCAGAATGACATAAAATAAAAATTTAAAAAATAAAAACCTTCCTTTTTTTTCAACACCAATGATAGAGAAATCCTGAGACAGAAACCAGCAAAAACAATTCCATTCACAATAGCTTAAGAAAATCTGTGGACTGCTATGGTTTGGGTCTAGATGTCCCCCCAAAGCCTTATGTGGTCATAGGTGGCTTTTTCAGAGGTGGCTGAATCTAGAGTGTGTGATGCTGGGATTAAGGACATGTGATTACTAAACCAGTGCACAGCTTGGTTTGGCACCCCTCTAATCCTGATAGTCTAGATAAGATAAAAGATGCTGTTAAGTTTCCCTTGTTGCTTTTTCTGTCTTACAGTGCCATGAACTGTTGCCCCTTTGCCATGTGCCCCCCTGCCTTGGAGCCAGCTGATTATGGAATGAAACTTCTACAGACTGTGAACTAAATAAACCTTTCCTCTTTTAAGTTTGGGTGTCAGGTATTTTGTGGCAGCAATGAGAAAAGTAAATAAGACATGGACCAACATAACCAAGGAGGGAAATAAACTCTACAATAAAAATTTCAAGATTACTGAAGTACTTGAAAATACATGAGAAGATAGAAAGATCTCCCATGTTTATGGGTCAACAGAATTAATATTGTTAAAATGACCATATTTACTAAAAGCTATCTATAGATTCAATGTAATCTCATCGAAATACCAATAACATTCTTCACAGAACAACAACAACAACAAAATCCTAAAATTTATGTGGACACATGAAAGACCCAAAACAGCCAGAGCAATCTTAAGCAAAAAAGGCAAGGCTGGAGGCATCACAATATCCAATTTTAAATGGCAATACAAAGCCATACTAAAAAAATAGCATAACATGGACACAAAAATAGACATTTGGACCAATGGAACAGAATACAGAACACAGAAATAAGTCCACAAAACTACAATCTGATTCTGGACAAAGGAAACAAAATATATATTGGAGAAAAGATAGCCTTTCAACAAATGGTGCTGGGAAAACTAGATATCCACTTGTAGAAAACTGAAACTAGATCCCTACTGTCACCTTGTACAAATATCATTTCAAAATTAAATATGTAGGTATAAGACCTGAAACTCTGCAATGGCTGAAAGAAAATATAGGGAAAACCTTTGAAGCCATAGGCACAAGCAAAAACTTCCTGAATAGGACTCCTGTTACCTAAAAAATTTTAGCATAAATCAACAAATGGGACTACATCAAATTAAAAGATTTCTGCACAGCAAGGGAAGTAACAGAGTGAAGAATGAGAGAAAACCTTTCACAGGCACTCTTTTGATTGAGAATTAATATCTAGATTATATGAAAAAACCAAAAAAATTAACATGAAAAAAATCAAATAGCCCAATCAATAAATAAGCAAATGAATTAAATGGATATTTCTAAAAAGAAGTACAATGGCCAGTAAATATATGAAAAAACTTTCAACATCTTTAGCAATAGGCAAATGCAAATCAAAACTACAACGAAATTCCAATCTGAATAGCTATCTTCAAGAATACTACCCCCCGCAAAAAAAGATGCCCAAGGATGCAGGAAAAAGGAACCCCTTCACACCACTGGTGGGAATGTAAATTAGTACAGCTACTGTACTAAAAAAACTAAAAATAGAGTTGTGATTTGATCAAGCTATATCACTCCTTGGTATGTACCCAAAGGAATTAAAGGCAGCATATCACAGGATACCTGCATAACCATGTTTATTCACAATAGCCAAGATAAGGAACCAGACTAAATCCCCATCAATATATTATGCATAAAGAAAATGTGGCACATATACACAATGGAGTATTATTCAGCTGTAAAGAAGAAAATTTGCCATCTGAAGGAAAATGGTTGGAACTGGAGATCATTATGTTGAACAAAATAAGCAAGGCTCAGGAAGACAAATATCACATGTTCTCCCTATTATGTGGAATCTAAACATGATGGTATGAAAGAAGAGAGACTATTATTAGAAAGGATGAAGGGAATAAGGGGGAGCAGGAAGGGATTGAATGAGATAGTAGTAAAGAGGAAATGATCAAAATATACTATACACAATGAAACCCCCTCAAAATAATCATATTATACATAGAGGCTCTTTTAAAAAAGTATATTGGTGTGATATAATTGTGTCCTTCCAAAATAGGAGACCCTTATCTGTTCCCATATCATTCATGTGATGATGGGGGTATTGCCTCTTGGGACATATCTCAGGATGAGTTGAAAAGAGTTTTTCTTTCTTGGATTTTCTGAAACATTTCATTGGAAGCTTTACTAAGCATCTGACTTTCTGTATGGAGAAAGCATATCTTTATCTGGAAGAACAAAGCCGGTGCCAGAGGGAAGTACACATGAGAACTGGGAAGATAAAGAACACAAGAGAGCCCTAATGGTATTGATTGCCTGGATCTGATCATTTTGGAAGCCAGCATGATTTCTGTACTTTCTTCATTTTGGTCACATAAATCAGTCAATTTTGTCTTTTGTCTAAGGCAGATTCCTGTCACTCACAACCAAGGATCTTGAGTTGAGGTCCCTGGAAATATGTTCCCCTGTTAGCTTCATCGTTAACTAATATAGTTTTTAAAAAATATATTAACAAGAAATTAACATCTAGTAACTTTGTTATATTGAAGAGATCTTGAGAACTTGTTTGGAGGTTCTAGCAGGGGAGTACAGCAACTCATATAACCTTGACTGAAGAATAGTTCTCCTCTGTTGGTACAATTATCCTCTTTTGAGCATATGGCTTCAGGAGGGATGCACATGGAACACTGAAGGAGGAAAGGGACATTTGTCTAACCAGCTAGATCAGCTGAATCAATCCTGGTGATAAGTGAGGTGAGAGATGTCACAGCCAGGTTCCCTCACATCTGCCACTGAAGAGGTCTAACATGTTGAGCTTCGCCTACCTGGTCTGGACTAGACTCAACAAAGTAGGTAGTGATGGAGGAAATGCTGGATGTGATATTGAAGAGCCAGCTGATGCCAGTGACCACAACATGCAGGATATGCTCCCTGCTGTGAACATAGTGATAGGCACTGCTGAAGACATTGGCAACACCCTGTAAAAACAGAAAATTCAGCTTGCCTTTTCTTTTTAAGATAGCAAAATAATTAATGATATATTAATTGGACTATCTTTTAAACTAATGATAATATACTTCTTATAATTCATTCATCAGTAGTGTTCCATATTTTGTTACATAATAAGAATCATCAAGAACTCAAAGGGTTCAGAGGCAGAGGTACACAAGTAAATCCCAGCTACTTGGTATGCAGAGGCAGGATGGCAAATTCAAAGTTAGCCTAAGTAACTCAGTGAGACCCTGCCTCAAAAGGTAGGGAGGTGTCTGGAGATATAGCTCAGTGGTAGAATGCCTCTAGGTTCAATCTTCACTACTGCAAAATACAAAACTAAAAGAAGGAAGGAAGGGTATATGCTGGGTACATTCCCAGTTACAGGAGAGGCTGGGGCAGGAGGATGGAAAATCAAGGCTAGCCTAGGACATTTAACAAGAATTTTTCTCAAACTAAGATTAAAAAGGTTCTTAGGATGCAGCTCAATGACGGAGTGCTTCCTTAGCATGTGCAAAGCCTTGAAATCAATCTCCTGTACCTCAAAAAATGTTTTTGGCCTCTTTGTAAAAAATCAGATGGCTGAAGGTACATGTGGTTATTTCTCTGTCTTCTGTCCTGTTCCATTGGCCTACATGCCTACTTTTGTACCAGTATCGTGCTGTTTTTGTTTACTATAGCTTTATAGTACAACTTGAAATTTGGTGTTGTGATGTTTCCTACTTTGCTATTTTTGGCCCAGGATTGCTTTGGCTATTTTAGGTTTCTTCTGGTTCCATGTGAATTTTAGCATTGTGTTTTCTAGTTCTGTAAAGAATGTTGTTAGTAGTTTAGTAGAGATTGCATTAAATCTTTAGAGTGCTTTTGGTAAGATGGTGAAAAGGTGGCCTCTTTAACAAATGGTGCTGGGAAAACTGGTTTACCTACATACAGATGATTGAAACTAGATCCATATCTCTCACCTTGTCCTAAAATCAAACTGATGATCTATATATAAAAGTGGAAACTTTGAAACTTCTGGATGTTAACATAGGGAAATATTTGAACCCATAGGCATAGGCAAAGACTTCCTGAACAGAGTTCCAATAGCATGGGAAATAATATCAACAATTAACAAATGGGATTACATCAAATCAAAAAGCTTCTGTACATTAAAGAAACAACTGACAGTGAAAAGACAACCTACAGAATGGAGGAAAAAATTTGCTAGCTACTCATTTGATAGAGGATTAAGATCTAGATTATATTAAGAATTCAACAAAATTAACTCCCTTGCTCAATGAATGACCCAAACAAAAAATAGGCAAATGAACTGAATAGACTCAAAAGAAAAAGCACAAATGGTTAATAAGCATATGAAAAAATATTCAACATCTTTAGCCATTAGGGAAATGCTCATTAAAACAACTCTGTGATTCCATCTTATCCCCATCAGAATGGCTATCATCAAGAAAACAAAAAGCAATCAGTGCTAGCAAGGATGTGTAGAACAAGGGACTCTTCTATGCTGTTGGTGGAAATGTAAACTAAGAAATCAGTATGGAGAGTCCTCAAAACACTAAAAATAGAAATTCCATTTGACCCAGGCATACCTCTCCTGAGTATATTATTGAAAGAAAGATATCATATTATAGTGATATATATACATATCCATGTTTATTACTTATTAGTACAATTTTGCGATAATGGGTACATTCATTGTGGGGAGTTGTTACTTACACATATTGCATCTTTTTTTTTTTTCTTGGTACTGGGGATTGAACTTGGGTCCTTGTGCTTGCAAGGCAGGTGGCAGAACCACTGAGCTAAATCCCCGGCCCCACATATTGCATCTTAATCCTTTTTACTTCCCTGTCTCCTTCCCTTATTCTTCTTTCCCTCCACCCCTAGATCCCCTTCTCATCTCTAAAAGGTCTACCTCCAATATCCTATAATCCATATTTTATTTTGCTTTTTAAATTATTCATATTTTGAATTTTTCATTTAAGAGAAACCATGAGATATTTAATCTTCTGTGTCCTATTTATTTTACTTAGCATTATGGTCTCAAGGTTTATTCATTTGAATATTTTTCTTTATAGTGCACAATTCACTATAGCTAAGCTCTGGAAATAGCTAGATGCTTGTGAATAGATGAACGGCATATGAAGTGTATATATACAGTTCAGCTATAAAGAAGAATGAAATCATGTTATTTGCAGGAAAATGAACGGAATTTGAAACCATAATGTTAAGTGAAATAAGTCAGGCACATAAAGTTCAATATCATATGGCTTTTCTTATATGAGAAACCTAAAATATAAATTATTAATCAGTAAAATAAAGGAGAGATGGTAGGAAATAAGAAGGCAGACTTTTTGGAGATGGTAAAGGGGTACAAGGTGGGGAAGGTAAGGGAGTGGGAGACATAAGGAATTGAAAATGATGAAGATATGTTATATGCTTGTGGTGTACATGTAAACTTTTTAAAAAAAGATCTACATAACTTTTTATGCTTTGTGATAATAGTTCAGTGAAATTTGTGATATGTTCTATTAGAGAATAGAATCATAAGAAAAAGATAAACATAAAAGTGAGAAAAAAATGTTTAAAAGCCAAGATTCTAGCCCTGAACAGATGTGTAAGAGTGGCCTTCAACTGATGCCAATATTAATGTTTGCATCTATGGCTTCTGTCATCAGATAAACAGCACAGGACAAGCTTAGATCCAAGACTTGCAACATGCTGGATTACAGTCCTTTGATAGTCATAAGAGATCTTGTTTTACAGAAAGGGGATGGGAAGTCTATAGCACCCATAACCACAAATTCTTCAAAATCATATGCATTTATATGTCAGGACTCAAACCATTTAAGGGTAACCCAGGGGCCTTTGTCTCTTAGGGCTAGAACACCAATTTCTAATTTATTTGGACTTGCTAATAAGACTATATAATTTGCCTACTGATAACTCCACATTCTTCCATTTTACTCCTTAATTTCTTGTTATTTTTATGTCAGATGAGATTGAATCTTATTAAAAAGATGTCCAGAGAAAGATACTCAACCATTTTTCTCAGTTGTCTATCCAGTAAGTGGAAAGAGAAAATGAAAAATAATCATCAATGAACATAAATAGCCAAGGGCTCATAGGGGAATAAATAACAAGGACATAGCGTGTCCTTGACTTATTGGGATACTATAGTCCATAGCCTTCAAAAAGGTGTTAAATATTCCTTCATTAAAATTTCTATCCATGGAATTAAATATGTATGTAGATATGTTCTAGTTATTTCATAGTGTTAAAAGTGTCTATCTTTTTTGTGGCCTAATTTGAAAATATGAATAAATACTTAACAAACATTGGGCATTTTTATTTGTTTTTTGTTCTTAAAAATTGTAATGTTGAAATAAGAGTGATGGAAATGCATACCATATTTAGTACCTTCATGGAAAGAACAAAATATTACCAGGTAGCATTACCAATAAAACAAAAATATATGCCTTCTAAAGATTCATTTCTACTTTGTGCATTTAACGCTGTAGCACAGTACACATTCTATTTTTGTGATTAATGTTATGAGATATATATTAACAATATTCCCAGAAAGGTTGATGCATGGATGTGCAATTGAGTCTGAGAGTAGTTTCATAAAGAGAATCTCTTCAAAGATGGACACAGGGAACAGGAACAAACATAAAGGCATATATACACAGGTTTACTCTCATCTGGCTTCCCTTTCTAAGAAATATAGGAAAGGCCACCTTACCACTGCTCTTGAAGACTTCTATGACTTACCTGATAGAATCTGATCTCATGAGGTAGAAAGACATTTATTTCATGGGGATCTCTAAGAGTGTCAGCAGCCAGGACCCCAAAGATCCTCATATTTGCATCCTGAAGAGGCAGAGCCAGGAATGACCCATTATAATCATTCTTGTGGGATTTATTCCAGAAAAAGATGTTCCCATGGTATTGAACTTGGGGGACATGGATTGGCTTCCCTTCATCCACTACTGCAAAGCTGAGAAAAAAAGGATACAAGAACAGGAATAAGCCACAGGGAAAGCCTTAGATTAAACCATAGAAGAAACTAGATCAATTCTCCCCCATAATCATGGACATTATATGTAAAAAAAGCAAACTCAGATAAGATTAAAAATTCAGAGGGCCTGCCTTGAGGGAGATATTTAAAATACAATCTTAGATCTTACTGTAGAAAACATATAAACAGGATGAAGAGATATAACTTTTTGAGCTGACATTGTGAAGCAGAGTCCCTAGGTGGTGAGTAATTGCTTAAAAAGTAAGCTCTAGAAATGATCAAGATAAATCACTCAGGACTAGAAACCCATTAGGTTCTACTCTAGATTCACTGGAGACTGAAGACATTTCCTTCCTGAACTGCTCAATAGAATTTGGATGCCAGTTTACTTCAGAAGGGGAATTATGTTTTTAGAAGGCTGAAATCAAACTCTTCAAGAAGTTCTTTTCTTTCTTTTTTTTTCTTTTTTCTTTTTTTTGAGATAGGGTCTCACTATGTAGTTGAGACTGACCTGGAACTCACTATGTAGCCCAGGGGAGTCTTGAACTCACAGTGATCCTCCTGCCTCAGTCTCCCGAGTGCTGGGATTACAGGCATGAGTCACCACGCCTGGCTGTCTTCAAGAAGTTCTTACCTGATTCCCTTCATGTCCCGATAGAGCACTCTGTTCAATACAAATGGAGCGTCATCTAGGGTACAAGCCACATTCCTCAATAGAACAGTCCCTCTCTCTGGTAAAAGTAGGTTTTCTTCTAAGAGGGAAATGTGAGCACTGATCTTCTTATTTCCATGGGCTTTAGCATCCTGTAGCAAAATGTTTCTATGTATTTGTTTTCTTTCTTAAATTAATTTTATTGGTACATTAAATGTATACAATATAATGACATTCATTGTTGGATATTTGTACCGTTACATAATCAATCTTGGTTCTTATTTTTCCCCATTCTCCTACCCTCCCTTCAATTCCTCCCTCCTTCCCTATCTACAAAGACTTTGTTTCCATTATTTTTCATTTTCTCATATTAATTCCATTCCCTTCTTTCCTTTTTCCTACCTTTCCCATTTCCCCTTCCTCTTTACTGACCATGTATTTGTAAACAGTCAAAGAATGTCCCTAATCATTTCAATAGCCAATTTGTGAATTTTATTTTATGAATAAATTATGCAGCTACTTATTGCTTTTCATGGCAGTGGGAAAAAGGCTGACACCACAGATGTCCTCTAAACGTGAGTTCATTAATGGGTTTCTCTATACCAACTAGACTGCTTTACTGAAAACAAAAACAAGAACAAAAACAAAACAAAACCTCTCAAGTCTAATCAAATTTAGAGGCTTACAAACTTAGATCCCTTTGAACTAGTCATATTTTTGGGTCTCAATTAAAGTGTTGATTTTAGAGAGCTAGAACAAGAAGATGCCTTCACTTCACTCATATTTCTTGACCATTTAAAACATGTGAATGTGAAAAAAATGCTCTCAAATAATTTTTAACATAGTTTGTTATTTGATCCATGTAATTTCAGAAAAAGATTTCTTGAACCCCCAAACTGTTATTTCTGCAACTATTTCTAATTAAAATAAGTGAAAATTCTCTACATCTATAAATCTTAAATCATCAATGATAATGTGTTAACCCATAGATTGAACATACTCATAAACTGAGGACATGAGAGAGACTTTTCTTTATATTTTACACCCTTTCTATATCTTTGGGTTTGCCTTTTCATGCCCCTACTTCTGCCTTTATTCCTCTTTTCCACATATAAGATCTATGGAGTAATTATCAAACGTATTAGATTCCTCTTAGGGTACCACAGATCTCTGAAGCAAACAGGAGTAATGCTTTTTTTTTATTGAGCAGTCCTGGATTAATAATTTCTAATGACATTGGAAAATTCAGTTATTCAGGAGATAACTTTAATGAGCAAATGTTGGTATCTAGCTGAGACAACAGTCCATTTCCTGGATCAATGGAATCTGTGATGTATGTAGAAGACAGCTGTTGTGTTCTGTGCAAGAGGAGTAGCAACCTGGAAGTTTTGGAAGAGGTAGCAAGGCTGTAGACAGTGGTTCTTTAGGGTCATGTGTTCTAAGAGACAGGATTCTATAATAGTCTCACTGCGTGCTTCCAGGCAGTGCTTGAAATATTGCAAGACATTGGATTCTATTTTATAATGAATTTATGATTTAAATACTTTTTAAAAAAATAATTAAATAGTTCTTAAAATAGTATTCAAGGAAAATATAGCTTAAACTCTGCATTTCCTTAGTGGTATTTTTCATTATTGGCCTATTGTCTATTTTTAACTTATTTGACTCTCACCACAAATAAAATTAGAAAGCTTGAAACATCTTTTCTACCTCTTACCTTTTTATCTTTCCTCTCTGCTTCTATATTGCCAACCAGTAAATATTCCAGTTGTATCTCACCTACGTTTTGGGGCATTTATTCACTACAATAATGAATAAAACATTTACAGCTAAATCCAATGCCATGTGCTTCTATGAAGCTATTGAAAATCATTTACTATAAGGGTAATATACATATAAATATCACTTTAGAAAACATACCAGTGTGAGAGCCTTGAAGGTCTCAGTGTACACTGGCTCTAGAGATACTCCACTTGTCTCGGCAGCGTGTTGGATTTGATGCAGCCATTTCCATCTTGCACAATTCCTCAGACTCTCAGTTTGGTTCTTCTCCAGAGTGTTCATTAGAAATTCCACAATGCTTTCCAGAACTTGATCTTCATCACCCGTGAGTTCAGATACAACCAGTTCTATGTATCTCTGAAACTGTTTTGACGATAACTTTACTTCATGACCAGGATGTGGCTTTGGAAACTGGATATGTAGTTTAGCTAAAAGACATTAATGCAAAATCAACAACTAACTAAAAGTTAATTCACCCATGGGGAAAATTTTAGTTTTCCTCTTATAGCAAGCTGAAGCCATTAACAGCTACTCTCTTGGAAAACCAAGTATATCAAAGCCATCTCTGAGCCCATGGAATTGACTTCCTATACTAAATTCAATGAATGCTATGTCATATTCTGTTTTTATTTTCCTTTCTTTTAATTCTACCATTCAGTCTGATGAAACCCTCCAAGTTCTACTCTGACTCATCCCTACATTTATCTTCCATATTCAATAAACTGCTTAATCCTATACTGCTATTCTTTGATAATGCATTGGATGGCCAATCTTTTCCATTCCTAATTTCATAACACCAAGCCAGCTTTTATTGGCTTACCAATAGTAAATGCTCAATAAATGTCTATAAAATTAATTAAAACACAATTTATATTGTGTATGTTCAGGTTTCAAAGTCCTACCATAGTTGGATCTAGTTGATTTACCATCATATATGTTTTGTGGGGTTTTTTTTTGTTTGTTTGTTTTGGTTTTTTTTTTTTTGGTACTGGGGATTGACCTCAGGAACTTGTGCTTGCCAGGCAGGGGCAGCGCCACTAGGCTAAATCCCTGGCCCCATCATATATGTTTTTAATACCATGTAGGAATTATTTGCTCTTGTAACCCATTCTACTTATAATCTCTGACGCATGCCTTGCATACTTCTGCATTCCACCACCTTTATTTTTTTCTAATGGTACATTGATGATTCTATCAAATTTGAACATTACCAGTAACTCTAGTTCCTTTATTCCATCATCTGCTACCTTACACTTCTTACTAATATCGTGAATTTGGTTTTAACCTTTCCTCTTTTTCCTTTTCCCAATAGTGTTATCATTATATAAAAATATATGTCATATACAAACATACTTCAAAAAAGTATGTGCTTTAGTTTTGTCTATTTGTAACCTTTGGGAAAAGTTACCACATCACACATAGTTTTTTGGGACTTGCTTTTTTTTGGTACCAGGGATCGAACTCTGGACCTTGTGCTTATGAGGCAGGCAGTGGCACAACTGAGCTAAATCCCCAGCAGGGACTTGCTTTTTTATTCAACATTACTATGCTACCATATCTATCCATGTTCTATAGCGGTGACTCATCAATTTTTACCACTGTATGTCATTATTTGTGTAACTATTGTTGATTACTTATTCTCCTTGCAAAGGACTATACACTTTGTTTTCAACATTTTTCTCCTAGGATCAGCACTACTAGCACTTTTTTACATGTCTCTGGGTGTATATTTATTATAAATTAATAAGCTATTACAGTATGTACCTTTTCCCTTTAAATCATGGTTCTAAGCTTGTCATTCCTCAAAAAGTTTTCCACCATAATTCAGTCTTCCCGTGAAACATAATAGCATGCATTTTATACCATTTATATGACAATTAACAAAGACTACCTGGAACTTGTGGTCATTTTATCATGTGTAAGCATCTTACTTATATAATTGAACACATTGATTTTTGCCCTTTAACTTCCACTTATTTTTCTCTTGGTGGTTGTAGCTCCAATTTTGCTTTGGAGAAACCAGTCCACTTCCTTCTCAGTTCATGGGTAGTGGAACATGCCTCTTGGTCTTATGTCAGGCAGGACATTTTATTCCTCTAGCCAGAGTGATTGGGTTAGTGCAGATTAATACCAGACATTTTGCCTGTGTGATTAGGAAGAGGAAATTTTCCATTTTATTCTTATTGGACTTGAATGAACCCGTGAAAATATGAGACTGGACCTGGTCACCACAAAGGGATAGATTATATGACAATGGAGCTAAAACACCGAAGATATTAGGGTTAGGCTGAATGCAAGAGAAAGAAAAAGAACTAGTCACCTGTTTTAGTGTCATTATTTACAATCCCAGGCCTTTTCCACTGAAAAAATACATTTCCTTTTTGCTTCTTTTAACCATTTAGGATTGTGTTTTCTATTATTTGAACCAAACAGTCCCAAGTGTTGTAGTACCCAATTAGGTTAAAATTTATGGACTCTTTTTCTTTCAAATCTTTTTATTCCCCCTCTTTTTCCTTTCATTCCTTTCTCTTCTTGAACAATTTGGTTCTAAAGCCATTAGGTGGGTCACAGAGCAAGGAGAAACCAACACGGCACAGAGCAGGGTATCAGAGTTCAAATGGGTTAAGAGGTGCATTTGTGCAGGGGTGATTTGAACCTGAGTAGGGTGAGGAGGCTATCTACATTGAAGGGAAACTGTCAGCCCATGTGGATTAAGAAAGTGGCACTACAGAGAGGTAGTTTAGGTTGTAATGTGAAAGCCTAATGTGAATGTTTAATACTAGGTAAAGTGAAGAGAACATTCAAATGGAGAGACAGCCTGGATTAGGGAGTCATAACCTAAACAGGGCAAAGATGGTGTCTATGTGGATAGGAAGTCCAGCATAGGAAATCAGAATCCAATAAATGAAGGAAGACTTCCGTACAGTCAGCTCAGCATAGAGGACGACAGCCTAAGTAGACTGAAGAGGGCCTTAACATGAAAACCTACCTTGGCACAGTGTCAGTGCCTAGGGAATATATGAAGAGCATCCACTTGGAGGGGTGATCTGGTGTAGGATGTCAAGGCTCAAGCAGAGTGTGGAGAGCAGTCATGCACAAAGGGCATTTCGTGCAGGGTGTTAGAACATGAGTGTAGTAAAAACATCAGTGTGAGAGACAGGGTAACAGAAGTGATGGGAAATTTGTTCCATATAGAATTAATGGATTTATTGATCAAACAGATAAATATATTTAGGATATCATGAGTTAGAAAGAAGGGAATTCCAAAAATGGAAAGGAAGAAAACTAGAATGGATCCTGTTGTTTTGGATTGGATTTGCAAATACTAGTGTGAACTCATGGTTTTTAACATTAACAGACGGGAGAAAATGTACAGATGTAAATGTTTTATACATACACGGACAGGTACGCACATATAAATTCACTAACTCTGTCCACTGAGAAACCTGCGAGCAGAGAGTTGTAGGCAATATGAACATGGGCAGCCCTGATCGTGGCTTCTAAATACTACTCTCCAATAAAATATTACAGGGTTTAAACAGGGAGAATATCAGATGAACCTGGAAGATCTTATTGTAGTAGCAATAAGAAGCAAGGAAGTGCTCAATGAACACTGGAAATGTGTTAAAAGGACAGAATAAACTGATAGTTTATTATAAAACTAAAATGTCCATCTTGTGGCCCAGAAATTATTCTCCTAGATATTTTAAAATAATAAATGAATACATTTATCCACAAAAAGATTTGTACAAGATTGTTCAGATTAGCTTTACTCATAATAAGATCTAGGAATAGCCCAAGTGTCCATCAATTAGGGAATTAATAAGCAAACTTTGGCACATTAATACATTAGGACAGTGGAATGCTACTTATCAACAAAAAGAAGCAAACTACTGACACATGCAACAACATGTAAGAATCTCAAGAAAGGCGCTGGGGTTGTTGTTCACTGGTGCTGCAAAAGCTCAAGGTCCTGAGTAGCAAAAACAATTCCCTGGTAGCAAAAACAAAAAACAAAAAAACCTCAAGGAAAAATATGCTGGCTAAAGAAATCTTATATAAAAGAATAATTTAATTCAGTCTAATCTATGATGGGAAAAAAACTCAGAAGAATGGCTGTCATTGTTGCTCGTTTTTTTTTTTTTTTTGGTACTGGTTATTGAACTAGGGCCCTTGTGCTTGTGAGGCAGGTGCTGGAACCACTGAGCTAAATCCCTAGCCCTGTATTTTTTTTTAATGGTACCAGAAATCAAACTCAGGACCTCACACTTGCCAGGCAGATGCTGTGCCACTGAGATACATTCCTGGCCCTGTTGCTCTGTATTTTGATCAAGGCACGGAGTATACAAATCAAGTGTTTACCAAAACTCAGCAAATATGCACTTAAATGTGGTCTGTCTGTCTGTCTATCCATATATCTAATTAAAAATATACATGGCTCCTCTTTTCTCCACTCTTTTTTTGGGGGTTACTACAGGTTGGGGACTAGAGAAGTAAGCAGAATTTGTGGCTTATATGGAGATTTTTAGTGGGATGTTGCCTCCCCATGAATAACCTTAAGCTTTGTATGTCCAGTGCTAGTATTTTTGTCCATCTGTTATTTACTTTAAGTGATTTTGACTCTCTCCCTATGTTTTGATGAATTCCTTCTGGTTATAGTAGCATCCACAGATTCAATCTTACATTTCTATGTGATAGTCCTTGCAGTTACACGCCAGCTTTGTCTATTCTCTATGCACACGTGACAGTTTATTATTTGTAATTGCTCTGCAATGAGGTAGGTGAGGTGGGGTTGGGAGAATGGTAGGTATTTGGGTGAGGAGTGTTAGACACTAAGAGCGAGGTTTTAAGGGGTGAATAGCGGTAGGTGAGAAGTTGCATGTAAGGTTCTGATTTTATTGGAGTACTTTTATTTAAGTTGAAGAGTTAGTATTGATAGTTTTTAGGGGCTATTTTGTGGGAACTAGGCTAAGATATGGGAGAAAGGGTGTTTACTTTGTGATTGTGGAAAACTATGTGGTTGTTGGAACTTGTTGATAGGACAATAAGGCAGGTAAGATATGGAAGAACCAAAGGCTTATTTGGGAAAGGGAGACATTGAGGAGATAGGAGTGACTGTGAGGGAGCTAATTATGGGGGATTTAAAAACTTGGAAGAGTTTATGTGTTTGGAAAAAGAATAAAGAAAGATTTAGTCAGAATTTTATAAACAAATATGTGTAGATACTCCTTAAGTGCATACTTTTTAGACCTAAAATCTTTATGGTTAGATGAAACACCAGAAATAGGAGGAAAATACCACACAGGAATAGCTCAGCCTGAACAACATAGTGGTCCTAGCTAATTCATCAGGTAGGGTTTCTTTGTTCCCTTATGTTCTTTGGGTAGGGTTATAGTGTTTATAGGGCTGGAGGTGAAGAACTGCAGATAACTGGTGCTGGATGTAGAAACCTTATTTTTTTTCTATGGCAGCTTGCTATTTGTGTAACATGGTGATTGGGTTGAAGAAAATCGAAGTACAGTAGTAACTGATCTTCCCTTCTCCCTGCCAACAGTTGTTATTTTCATTTTATTTTATTTTGATTTTTTTGAGACAGGGTCTCACTCTGTAGTTCAGGCTGGTCTTTAACTCACTGTGTATCCCAGGCTGGCTTGGATCTTGCAGCAATTCTCCTTCCTCAGCCTCCCAAGTGCTGGGATTACAGGTGTGTGCCACCACACCTGGCTATTTTACATTTTAAAAACTATAGCCATATTATTAGCATGAAATCATATTACTCATATAAAGTGATATCTGATAGTGTTAGTATAATCAATATTTTTTTTAACTATATATGTGTCATAGTAGTGGGAAACTTGAAGCCAAGTTGTTACCACAACTTAAAAAGGAGCATTCTTATATTTTACCTTTCTTCATAGATTTTTTTTCCATTCCATCCTTGTATGTGTATAAGAGTTTATCAACTTCCTCCAGATCCAGAAAGCCTGAGCCATCACCGTCCCACTTCTGAAAGAGGGCTTTTAAGAGAAGTCCCTGTCGGATTCTGAAAGCATTTTGTCTAACCTAGGATAGAAACAGGATAACAAAGCACAGGAGTCATGATGTCCATTATGCTAACTGGCAACTGGCATCCTGTGCTTACTTTTTAACAGCCTGGTATATTTTATAAAAATGACTTTACTTTGGGGTTAACCATGACTTTAATAAAAAATTCAGTGAAAAATTTAACCCCTTATAAATGTCATTTCCTTGTTTCACTTCTAGATCAAATCCAAAAATCAAAACCAAACCAAACCAGGAATTGTCTGCACTGGACTAAAATGCATTAGACTGGGAAGGGTACTAACCTTCTTCTTCTTCTTTTTTTTTTTTTGAACTTCAGGGATGGAACTTCAGGACTTTGCACTTGAGAGGCAGGCACGGTGCCCCGAGCTAAATCTCTGGCCTGGGAATTAACTTTCTTAAGAATTCCTTTTCAATCCCTCCCTCATTAATAAAAAATGTGATAAACACATGAGGTGCTCTCCCTGGTTTTTTAGGGGATGTGTTTTGTACTAAAAGGGAATGAATGACAGTGTTCAAACAATGAAAAGCGATTTTCCTAAAAAATTTCTTTTTTGTATTTCGCATTGACTGAACTTGACATAGATTTTATTTACCTTTTAGAATTTTCACTAGATGAATTCTATTAATTAGATTGCAACTGAATTAATATCTAGATAGACTTAGTTGCAAAAAGAAAATAAATATGGACCTTTTGGCTAAGTGGGTGAACCTGCAGTTGAGGAGGCAAAAAAGATATCAACCCTAGAATATTAGCTTGAGAAGACTCATAATATTGATACAATTACTGAATAAGCATGATGAAACTAATTCTCATTTCATATGTGAGAGGATTAGTTGTTTGTATAAGTTAATGCGTATGAATTTATCTATCACCCAAGAAAATATTATAAAAAAAATATTATAGGGAAATATGTGCTATCTGGGTGTCTGTAAATAAAAATACATAATCAAGCCATAATCATAACCATGTTTATTTTCATTTGTAAATACACTCACACATCAGACACATACATCCTTGTAATGCACATATCCACTTAAACTTCAGAGGGAAAACAAAGCTGTATGATAAAGCACCTCCTACCAGCAACAATCATGTTATCACTAGGGAAGTGAGTTCTCTGGAGTGTGACCTTTGAATATTTGCCAATAAAACAAGATATTTAATGGTTGTGCCTGTTGAAATAAAGTGATAAATTTGGTTGTGCATTTTAAAAAGAAGAGCCACATTAGGAGCAACTGAGGTTGAGAGAATGACTTAATTAGTGACCTTACCTGTTTCACTGACAAATATTACCCACCTGTTCAAAGGCATTCATTTTCTCTTCTTTTGTTTCAACATAGCCCCTCTTAAAAAAAGAGGTGAGGGTCTCACTGGCACTTAAGGGGGCATCTTCACCAACAAATGTTTCTAGGAGTTGCACAAACTGGAGCAGATCAAAGGAAATTCCATTGAAGGCACTCCTACTTTTTACTTCTTTGTAAGACTGAATATTTCTGATAATTGAGTGTAATTCTGTGAAGCAAAAAACAGATGCAAAGCAGTAAAAGGAACAATTATAATATTAGAGAAAACAAATGAGTACCTATTGTAATAGACACCTGCTGTTGTTTTGATGTGTTTTGTTCTGGTGCTAGGGATTGGATTTTGGGCCTTGAGCATGCAAAGCATGACCACTGAGCTAGACCAACAGCCCCAACATCTACTATTTTTGCCTGTCAGGGATATATGCTTCCTTCATGAGGGTAGCATCTATCTTTTTCCTTTGGGAAAATATCTTTCCTCTATTGTTAGTTGAGAGGAAATAGGTGGTATGAAGCCACTTCATCCTTGCTCCATAGATGTGCGCTACAGGTTTAGCCAATAATTCATGTACAACAGCAATGTAACCTATGATAGGCCAATGAATATTAGCTCCAGAACTTTTAAGAGAACTCTTAGGGGAGAATTATTCTTTTTGATTCTCTGATTGCTGGACTAGTAGTATGTAAGCTAAGAGATCCTGTCGTGATCATTTTTGGTCACAAGATGGAGAAAACTGCCTAAAATTGAAAGTGACAGAAAAGAACAGAGCTGGGAGGAAGAGAGTGTGCCCTACTACTGTTGGATCTTTTTATGTTATGCCTTATTATGGCTTGTATCTAGATGTTGCTCAAAGCTTCATGCTCTCGTAGATCAGGCTTTTCGGAGCTGGCTGGGTCTGGGGCATGTGATACTGGGATTAAGGGTGTGCGATACAAAATTTGTCCACAGATTGAAATTAACATAGTTCTGAGTGTGGATAATGGAAGCCCCATCATGAGTGTGGGTGACACCAATCAACAGGCTTATAGCCTAGATGGAATATAAAGGGAGAGGGGATGGAAAGTTGGCTGCTACTGCCTGCTGCCTTCTGCTTGCCTTGCTATGGACTGTTTTTTCTCTGTGATGCCCTTTTGCCATGCTGCCCTGCCTTGGAGCCAGCCAATTATGTTCTGAAACCTCTACAAACTGTGTACTGAAATAAACCTTTATCTCTTTAACTCTAGGTTTGGGTATTTCATCTTAGCAGTAAGAAAAGTAACTAAGACAATCCTGTTGTGCCTGAAGACAGCTATACTCTGGACTTCTTAGTTGCTTAAATTAGGCAACACTCCTCCTGAGAGTGTGGGTTAATGCATTTGTCTTGAAGCTTAGTGTTACAACGTGAAGCACATTCCCTAAAATGTCAGTCCACTTACTTATGATTGATTTACTCATTGATTCACTCATTCATGCCTTTATGTCTCCTACATCAGATTTGATGTAACTTAAAAATGATTACCCGTGCAATTATTTATTTGTTTGCTTATTTATTTATTTACTTAGGTATTGGGGATCGAACTCAGGTCCTTCAGCTTGCGAGGCAGGCAGAGGCACCACCGAGCTAAATCCCCAGCCCCTGCATGCATTTTTTTAAAAATAGCAAGGCAGGCTCGGCTCAGTGGTATATGCGTATAATCCTAGCTACTCAGGAGGATTGCAAGCTTGAGGGTAGCGTGGGCAACTTAATGAGGTTCTGTTTGAAAATTTTAAAAAATACAAAAGTTCAGGGATGTAGCTCAATGGCAGAGCTCTCGCATGTGCAAAGCCCTGGTTCCCCCAATATTGTATGGATAAGAAAGGAAAATAGAGCAAAGCTTGACCAATGCTATATATTGTCACCAGAATATTGTAAACATATGAAGTTTATTGTCTGGGTATTTTATTTACTTTTGTAGTGATAAGGATAAAACCCAGGTCCTCATGCATTGCTAAAAGTTTGTTATTTGACCCAGGCTGAAATGAAAAAAATTTTCAAATAAGAAGAAAATAACCATGATATAATTAGTTCTACTACTCGTTGACATGAAAGGGAAAATTATAAAATAGAATTTTAGTAAAATTTGAGTAGTATTTGGAACAACTATAGTTAAATACATGGTTTAACTGAAAACTAAATGCTGCTCTTTTCTCTGTTGGATAGACCTTACTTTATAAGTCTTCAAAAACAAGACACATTCTCAATTGTCTCACATGGTTAGATGTGAACCTACTAGGAAGAGAAATAGCTGGAGTGATTATTATTGAGTTCTAATCTAATATCTGATTTCCTTTGTATGCTTGGATCATACCTTCAAAGCAATTTTAAGGTCATGTAATGTTTTTTAAAAAATATACTAAACCATTTTATAGAAAAACCACATCTTCAGGATCACTGTGAGTTAAAGACCAGCCTGGGCTGCATAGTGAGTTCCAGGTCAGTCTCAACTACATAGTGAAACTCTGTCTCAAAAAAACAAAACAAAAAAAAGAAAAACCACATCTTTATCCAGTCTCCAAAGGATGGGCAAATGGGCTGTTTCCAAGTTTTAGCTATTACAAACTGTGCTGCTATAAACATAGGTATGCATATATCACTGTGATATGATTCTTTTAATTCTTTTGGAAAGTTTTATAAAATGGAATACTACTCAGCCATAAAGAATGAGAAATTAGATTCATTCATAGGAAAATGGATACATATTGAGGATATACTCCTAAGTGAAATAAATAAGTCACACGTGTAAATGCTGAAGTTTCTCTGGTGTGAAAAACTACAATAGTACATAAGATCCTAATGATATAATTGACAATGTGAAATAGGAAGAAAAGGGCTAAAGGTGTGAGGAAAGTGGGAAGAGCAGGGGAAAGGTAATAAGGGAAAAGAAAAAAATATGAGAAAATGAAAAAATGGAAATAAAGTGTTTGTAACTGGGGAGGGGAGGAGGGGGTGAAGGGAGGGCGGGGACAAGGGGAAAAAATGAAAACTAAGACCTGTCATGTAAAGGTACAAGATCCCAAAAATGAATGTAACTGTACTGTATGCCTAAAATGTACCAATAAACTCAATGAAAAAAAAATAAAGATCTTAAATTAAAAAAAAAATATATATATATATACTAAACCAGGCATGGTGGCTCACACCTATAATCTCAGTACTCAGGAAACTGCACCAGGAGGATCGCTGTGAGTTTGAGATCAGCCTGGGCTAAATAATAAGTTCAAGACCAATATGAACTGCATAGAAAGACCCTGTCCCCCAAAAAAGTATACTAGTGCTATACCTTTTAAAGTAGAAGAACATTCATCATTAGTACATGTCACTACCAATATGGTACCACCACCAAAAATATCCGTCTTGTATATATTTAGATCTGTCAACTCTCAGAGACAAAATAACAAAGATTTCATTTTGTCTTAGCAAAACCCAGTCTTTATCATGTGGTATCATGGTAAAATTAATGCCATTTATTGTACTTCCATCTATGTTTCATAGTTTTATTGTTAATATGTACCTGTGAACCTGGAGTTACCATAGATTAAGTTTGCTTGTTCCTCATCTTCAAATTTGACACACTTCATCCTCCAGTTACAAGACAAAAATTCACCTATAAAAAGCACATTTTATACTATAGCCAATTTAACTTCACTTTCCCAATGTTTCTGTTCTAGGGTATAGAATGAAAGGAAGATTAAATGAAGAATTACCTGACCATGACTTTCCTTCTATTTGGGGAGACTTGGGTTCACAGGATTTGTCTTTCTGAACATTTTTTCTTGCCATTTCTAAAAGGCACAAAATAAAATGCTTATGAATTGAACATTATATGTTCTGTGAGGTATCCTAATAATGAACAAGAGAAATACCTTACCTATAGAAGACCAAAAACCCCCCATATGTATTGTATCATAAATGACCACAATAATAATGTTGATTGTTGAGAACAGGTCTGTGGCAAAAACTATTTGCTGTATTCCCATTTGGTCACACAAAAAGAGGACTACATTTCCCAGCCTCTCTCACAGCAAGGCATCACTATGCATATACCCAAATTCTGACAAATGAGATATGAATAAATATTTGAAATGTAGTGTTTTGTCTGAAATTTGACTTTCAGAAACTCTTCTAGAATATGGCTGCATAGTACTCCATTTTATAGAAAAACCACATCTTCTTTATCCAGTCTCCAGTCTATGGGCAATTGGGGTGTTTCCAAGCCACTATAAACATGGGTGCACATATATCACTGTGGTATGATTCTTTTTATTCCTTTGGAAAGATACCCAGCAGAAGGATAGCTGGGTCAAATGGAACCTCCAATCCTAGTCTTTTGAGGTATCTCCATATTGATTTCCACAGTGGTTGCACCAGTCTGCCCTCCCACCAACAATGGAGAAGGGTTCCTTTCTCTCCACAACCCCATCAACATTTGTTATTGGTTGATTTCTTTGATTATCTTTTTTGTTTGTTTGTTTGTTTGTTTTTGAGACAGGGTCTCACTATATAGTCGAGGCTGACCTGGAACTCACTATGTAGTCCAGGCTGGTCTCAAACTCACAGCGATCCTCCTGCCTCAGCCTCCCAAGTGCTAGGATTACAGGCATGCATCACCATGCCCACTATTGGCTGATTTCTTGATAGCAGCTATTCTTTCTGGGGTGAGGTGGAATCTCAGTATTGTTTTCATTTGCATCTCTCAAATGACCAGTGATACTGAACATTTTTTTTCATATATTTATTTGCTGCTTTCACTTGTTTGTCAGAGAAATGTGTACTCATTTCAGACGCACATTTTTGAATTGGGTCTTTATATTTGGGGGTCTGATTTTTTTGAGTTCTTTATATATTCTAGATTGTAGACCTTTGTCTGAGGAACAGCTGGTAAAATTTTTTCCCACATTGTAGGTTGTCTCTTAGCTCTGTTGGTGGTTTCTCTTGCAGTGCAGAAGCTTTTTAAGATGAGATTCCAGTTGTTGATTCCTTGTGCTAGTTCCCATGCTACTGAAGATTTGTTCATAAAGTCTTTTCCTATGCCAATGTCTTCGAGAATTCTACCTAACTTTTCTTCCAGCAAGCCTAGTGTTTCTGTTTTAATATTCAGATCTTTAATCCACTTTGATTTTAGTTTAGTGCATGATGAAAGATAGGGGTCTAATTTTAATCTTTGGCAGGTTGGAATCCAGTTTTTCCAGCACAGTTTATTGAGGAGGCTATCTTTCCTGCACTGAGGATGGTTGGCTCCTTTGTCAAAGATGAGGAAGCTGGGTACATTTGGAATTGTTTCTGTAGCTTCCAATCTATTCCACTGATCTATATCCTTGAACTAATTGAAAAAAACAGGGCCCATTTCACAGTTGAAGTAAAAGAAAATTTTAAAAATGGTTTCTAATGTCAGACACTATATTTAAAGTAAAAGGCCTTTCTCTGACTTTTCAAAACACATGTACATTGAACATTACTAGATTTCCCCATTATTAATAAGCTTCTACTACAATTGAAATTCTAGATAAACTCATAATAGAGACATTTTGGTTTGCATTTAATTGAGGTTTCAAGTCTTCTGATGTTGAGTAGCAAAATCTATCTGAGGTTTGTGTGATGTGATATGCTAAAAAAGATTTCAATTTTAATGAGTATTTTCTGAAAAGACTTTCAAAACTACTCCACAAAACAGGGAGAGGAGAACTGAATTACTATCTGAAAATGATCTTTTCTACTTGATGTGGGAACTTTCTCTTGCAGCTCAAAACCCATGAATATTTCCTCATATGTTTGCCCCCGCAAACTCTTTTTGTGAAGGGATTTTAAAGTACTTAGAGAGAGTAGCCTCCCAAGGTTTGGTTGATTTTTTTTGAAGACTCTACCTTTTTCTGATTGTGAAGTTGAGTCTCTGTCCTGTTGTTTTGAAGTTGTCTCTCTTTGTAGTTTTTGTTCTGACTCTTTGTGTGGGTCTATCATTGACTCTCTGCGTGACCCTTGCTCTGCAGTTGACCCTCTGTGTGATCTTTGTTCTATCATTGAGTCTCTGCGTGACCCTTGCTCTGCAGTTGACCCTCTGTGAGATTTTTGTTCTGCAGTTGATGCTTTGTATGACCCTTGCTCTGCAGTTGACTCTCTATGTGGTTCTTGCTCCATCATTGACTCTCTGCGAGACCCTCGCTCTGCAGTTGACCCTCTGTGTGATCTTTGTTCTATCATTGAGTCTCTGCGTGACCCTTGCTCTGCAGTTGACTCTCTATGTGGTTCTTGCTCCATCATTGACTCTCTGGGAGACCCTCGCTCTGCAGTTGACCCTCTGTGTGATCTTTGTTCTGTACTTGATACTTTGTGTGACCCTTGCTCTGCAGTTGACCCTCTCTGAGGTCTTTGTTCTACTTCTAATTCTCTACTTGATCCTTGTTCTAGAATTGACTCCATGATGACTCCCTGTTCTATCACTGCTTCTCTGTACAATTTTTGCTCTGTACTTGGTTCTCTGACTTCTTCATTTAAAATTATTTGTGATCCTAGATCTGCAGTCTTTCCCCTCTGCAGTTTTGGTGGATGTGGTTGTGCTGTTGATGTTTTCTGTTCATCATGTCGTGGTTGATCTTTTTGATTTTCTAATAAATTATTTTGGGCTTTATTTTCATGTTTCTCAGAAAGTAATGCATTCATCTTTAATAGCACTTTATCAAAGTCTTCATAAATGTGTTTCTGATTATCCATGTCTCCCCAGAACTCGATCATATCTATCTCTTCAAACTCAATGAATGGCCCTAAGGCAGAAAACAAACATTTAATTTACTTAAGCAATTGATCTTACATAGCAGAATCAAAGTTATTAAATTAGTGTAAAAAATCACTGAGCACAATGATTTTTTTGTTGTTGTTGTTGTTACCTGGGATTAAATTTGGGACCTTGTGCTTGCAAGGTAGCTGGCAGAATCACTGAACTAAATCCCTAACCCAACAATAATTTTTAATAAAGTCCTATTACTTTAAAAAATATCAGTTACTTTGTGCTGCAACCTTATAAAAAGCAAAAGGATACTTAAAGAACATTTTAAAAATATAAAGGTAGCTGAGAATCACTGAACTAAATCCCTAACCCAACAATAATTTTTAATAAAGTCCTATTACTTTAAAAAATATCAGTTACTTTGTGCTGCAACCTTATAAAAAGCAAAAGGATACTTAAAGAACATTTTAAAAATATTCATGACTTGTAATTAGGTGTTCCTTCCAAAAAGGTGTAGCTTTGGAAATGAACATAATTCTTTTTTTTTGCTATTTGGAGTGTTGCTTATACTGACAAGGCAAAAAAAATTTGTCCACTAACTTTGTGGCCATCTCATAATAAGCATAGCATAGAGATGGGAAAAGGGACATGTTTTTCCATCTCAAATCAATATCTGCAATATGAAATAAGAGCAAGTATCTATTCATGACACCATTTCATGGAGTTATGTTTTCCAATATTTACTTTCTCTACCTTCTTTTTCCCTCTCTGCTTCTTTATTACTCAGTTCTTCCACAAGTCATGTGGACACCTGGTTCAGAAATCTAGAGAGCTGGGAATTTAGCTCAGTGGTTCCACCATCTGCCTCACAAGCACAAGTCCTGAGTTCGATCCCTGGTACCAAAAAAAAGGAACCTAGGAAAAGAGGTTGGGGTGTAGCTTAGGATGTGTGAGACCCTGGGTTCAATCCCCATGATTAAAAAAAGAATCTTAGGGAAAGATTGTTCAACATTAATTTGAATGCCATCGTTAAACAGCTAGAGGTATAGCTCAGTGGTAGAGTACTTGCCTAGTGAGTGGGAAGTCCTAGGTTCCATCCCCCATACTCCTAAATAACAACAAAACCCTGGTATCCAAGACTACACAGAGTAGGACTCATGCCACAGACTGTCCCCCTGATCTTCAAAACAGATAGTAGTTAAGCTATAAAATTGTGATTCCCATAAATTTTAGGAATATTCTATGTACACTATCCACATATTTAAAAATATACAAGTAATAAATCTTCACACAAAAATAAAATATTGTTTAGAAAATCCATTGATTAAAAGCCTTTCTCTCTCTCTCTCTTTTTTTTTTTCTTTTGGTACTGGGGATCGAACTCAGGTCCTTGTGTTTGCAAGGCAGGTGCCAGAACCACCAAGCTAAATCCCCAGCCCATCTTTCTCTTTTATTTATTTATTTATTTATTTATTTATTTATTTATTTATTTATTTATTTATTTATTTTTATTGAGTTTATTGGTACATTTAGGGATACAGTACAGTTACATTCATTGTTGGGATCATGTACCTTTACATGGCAAGTCTTGATTCTCATTTTTTTCCCCTTACCTCTGCCCTCCCTTCTCTTTTTTAAAAGAATAAAAGCAGTAGTTCTATTTATTTTTGAAGAAAAATAGAAAGGAATCTTATCATATAAGTACAAGTAAAAATACTTGGGAGAAGTAAATACTTTTCTTAGAAATCTTAGAATTATAAGTTGAGCATTAAAAATGGAATAACCATTATCAACTAATTTTTAAACATTAAAATTGTCACTAAAACCTCTCTTCATTTAAATTAATTTAAAATTGTGACATGATGGTTTTGAGTATTACATTGTGATGAAAAATGCATCTAGGTATGATGAAGAGTTAATTTTCTGAAGGAATGAACAAGTAGATATAGTCATAATCATCATAACTCAAAAAGTTATGTGAAGGAATTCAATGAGAGGTAGAATAATCATATTAGAGAATTGGACATTCCATTTCAAGGATGCATCTCTCTCTGAATATTACTTACATTGTCTTGGGTTTCGGAGTAAAGCCCTAAGCATTTGTGAACTTTGGTCATAGAACTCTTCCAGCAAGGCCAATGTCCTCTGCCGATCCAAAATCCCTACCTAAGCAACAAGGTTATAATTAGTAGTTACAGGAGATTTAAGATTTTTATTTAGACAGAACATGGCTTTCTGAAGCTTTTATCATTACCATCACCAGCACTACCATCACCACCATAATCATACAAATAAAATCTCCAAGCCAGTTGTGGTGTGGTGGTACATGCCTATAATCCCTGAACTCAGGGTGGCTGAGGAAAGAGGATCATAAGACTGAGTCATGACTTGGCAAGACCACATCCCAAAATTAAAAAATAGAAAAGAGGGATGGGGTGGAGCTCAATGCAAAAGCCCTGGATTCAATCCCCAGGACAGCATGAAAAAAATATATAATTTCTTTTAATGGCTATATGGCATTGCATAATGTGAAAATACTATTAATTTCTTAATATTTGTGTATTCATGGGGATTTAGGTTATTTCCAGTATTTTGATACTAAAATAATATTGCACTGGATATCTTTATTTATATCTCCTCTTGTACATTTGCAGACATTTCTCTAAGGTAAGTAAGTGTGCTGTGGGATTTCTGTATAGAGAAATGGACACTGGGACCTTTTCCCAGGAAGCAGCTTTATTCTTGCCAGCACTGACTCAGTGGATTCATATCCAAAGGCTGAATGCTGAACCTGGTGTAGATGCACACTTTTATACAATTCTTGTGTCTTTGTCTCCCTCATATGGGCATATACTAACATTTTACATTCTGGTTGGGTATACATTAATATTCTAATGTATGGTCATATATGATTTATATTACAGAGTAACATCAGAAGTATATGTGCATGCACAGAGGTTGATATCACTATACTGTAAAAAGTTCCCACCCTGACACATCAGGAGGGGCCCTACCACAAGTGAAATTACAAATCATTTTATATATACATTTTCAATTTTAGTAGTTATTGACAAATTGCTCCTTAAATTGCCCACACCAATTTACATTCTTACAAATACTGAGTATATAACATCTCTCCATATCCATACCAATACTTGATATTGTTAGAGTTTATACTTTGTCCAATGTGATAGTCAAAAAATGGTTTCTTATTTTAATCTACCTTTCTTCCATCAGTGAGACTAAATATATTTTGATACGTTTATTTTGTATTTGGCTTTCTTCTGTGAATGGCATTTTCATGTCTTTTTCCCATTCTTTAGAGTTGTCTATTTCTTATTAATTTATATATATATTTTTTTGTACTGGGGATTGAACTCGGGCCCTTGTGCTTATAAGGCAGGCAGCAGAACCACTGAGCTAAATCCCCAGCCAATTTATAAAATTTTGATAATGGTCATTCTATTATGTATCTTGCAAGTTTTTCTTATCTCTTTGTTTAGCTTTTGGTGAGTTTAATCATATGTTTTTAATTTTGAAGTAGTCAAATATATCAATCATGTCCTCTATGGATTGTGCTTATTTAGAGTATTCTTTAGAAAATAATCACTCATGTTGAGCTCAAAATGTATGTGCTGTATTTGTTTCTAAAACTTTTAAAAGTGTTTTCTACATCTATGTTTCAGATTATATAGAACTAATTTTTCCTCATTAGTGAAGTTAGAGCCTAATTTTATATTTTTTCCCAGTATGAAAGCCAATTTTTCAAATATTGTTTCTTGAATAGTCCTTTCTCATTGATTTATATTGCTACCTGTGTCATACACTAAACTACCTGCTCTTGGATTTGGTGCCAGGTCCTGAACTGTGTCCCATTTATTGATTTGTCTATTCCAACATCAAAGCCAAGTTATGTTAATTAATAGTTATAATAATAGTGCATGTCAGAGCAATAGTTGTTAATGAGAGAGCTACATCAAGCTGGTCCAATAAGGATTCTATACCTAGAAGCACCACTGTAATCAGAGTCAAAGATTCTTTGAGATATATGTATATTATACAAAATAGGAGAATGAGATACAAGTCTTGTACGGTTACTTCTTTTGTATCCTTTATATATTTGTAGACCTAATCTTTATGGAATTAAAAAAATCTATTTGTTTGTCTTTTACTATTCTGAAAAACAGAATGTTTAGTTCTACTTGGGTCCTTCCTTCCAAAATAATCCTTGGCCCCCAATCTGGAGAACAAATGGGAGGATTCTGCTAGTTGCTGAATGTGTCTCTTTCAATTAAACAATCAGAAACCAGAATAACCATAGCTAAGCCAACAAGATTTATTGGCCTGACAGTATAAATCCTAACTTTAACCAGTAGTCCCCTGGGGTGTTTTGAGATTCTACAGATTATTGTTAACTTGGAGTTAATGTCTGATAATTCCTGCAAGTCCAGGGTCTTCATGGAATTATTGTGTACACATGTTTAAATATCACATTGTTTATCTTGTGTGGTTAACCCAAAGCTTAAATAAAGACCAAAACGGAGAACAGATACTGGGAAGAAGGAAGACAATAGTCAAATGTGCAAGGGAAAAAGGGAGGAGGGAAGGGAAGGAAGGGAAAAGGAAAAAAAGAATAGAAGGGAAAAATAGAAACAAAGCTTTTGTAAATGTATAGAGGAAGAAGGGTTGAAAGGAGAGAAGGAGAATTGGAAAAAAAAGATGTATGTTGTAGAGGTACAAATTTCCTATGATGAATGTGATCATTATGTATATCAAAGTATACCAATAAAATCAATTTTTAAAACTTCTTTATTATAGATTCTATGTATCAAAGATTGACATATAACTTCCTTTTTAATGAAGAGAAGAAAAACGAAGAGCACAAAATTGCAAACCTCTATTCTTTCCTCTAAATATTATACCATTATGCTTTGGGTTGGTGTTAAATTGAACAATAGAGAATGGTTGTTCTCCAGGCATTTTATCAGTAATATCTTGATCCCTCTATCACACGATATTTATGACAAATTCTGTTTAAGCAAGCAATGTTCATGAGATTGTTGAAATACACATGGGAATCTTAGATTTTATAAAATATATTCCTGAATGAAGCCAAGTAAGCAGATATCTAAGAATCTAGATTGCATATATCAGTTCCTTTGGGAATTACTTTTTCTGAATTACAGCCAGGACTGGTATCATTTGCCTACACTTAAGGGATTATAAGAAACTCTGAAAAAGTCATTGATTCATTTATTACCTGTACATAAAAGATGTTCAGTTATCACGCAAGATCCCTTTAATGACTACCTCTAGGTTGTATGTACTCTGAATCTCAAAGTTTCCTAATTCTTAGTACCAATTTGTATTTATTTTATAAACAATATCAGTAGTGTGTTTGTTCATTTTTTCCCCCATTCACTATCAGGGAAGCTTATAACCAAACTTGCATATATCCTATAACAAATATTTAGATCTCTGGGGCTAAATTATAACTTCATTCAGTATTCTCTTTTCTTTGCTCCTGAATTTTTTTCTTTTTTCTTTTTTCTTTTTCTCTTTTTTCTATTTTTGTGAGCCTTCTTGAATCCTTTTTGGAACATAGGGTTAAAGTAAATAAATAAAACATCCATAAAAAGTATACTTCAGTATAATTTGTGCCTATTTTTAAGTCTATTTTGTATCCTGGCACACAAGTATTTTCCTAAACCTCATCCTTAGAAATACTTTTTGATATAAACTCTTCTTATTTTTAAGAACAAGCATAATAAAAGTAATAGATGTTTTATTTTTAGCACCTTTTTTACATAGGAGGCCACCAACAAAGACAGAAAACAAAGACAATTTTAAATTCTCACTGTCTTAGTGATGGGAAGGTATGATCTACAGACTAGTGGCAGTCTGTAATAAGAAAGGTATGAAAATTGAGAATAACTTTTAGAAAAGTTTATAGGAATTTGAGAAACTATCTAATAAGTCAGATTTAAATTTAATAGTTTAAAATGTGGATTATATTTTGTATGTCCCTTCATATCACTGCGTATCTATTCACAACACACTGGAAATTTAAAACATCACCATCAATAACAACCTACAAACGAATCTTTCACAACAAACAATGCAAGAAGCAATGCTTTAAGAGTTGTACCTTCCCATGGTCACAATGTAGGAAAAGTTCCTCAAACATCTGTCTCTGCATGTCAGTTTTTATGATCTCCCGGAATTCATTGGCACAGTGGCAAAGGTGCTTAAGGAGTTCCTCAAAAATTTCACTTTTAAGGTCTGCAACCAATGAAGAGATGTACTACAAGGGGGAAAAGGATAAATAATGACTTAAAACCACAGTCTTCATTTGTATTTTCCCAAGAGTTCAGTCAATGTACACAAGGTATTTTGATTGAAAAATGTTTCCACATCATTTGCTTATCACTTAAAGAATTTTCATGCAACTGTCATTCTATATAGGCTGTGCTGTGGAGAAAGGTGATTAGTGCCGTCCCCAACACCATGCACCAATGGGACTAGATAGATATTTATGGAATAATTTTCCCTATAGGTTATATTAGCATTATATAGGGCAGGTTTTTTTCACATTATGGAATAGCAGCAGTCCTAAAATGTTGCCTGTATATTAAAAATTCTAATAATTAAATGAAGTTTTAAAAAATTGGTACATGGCATATAAGGACATGTGTATTCCAAGACTGACTACATTTAATTATTGGAGTGTAAAGAATGGGAATTCTGAGTGGATTTTTGCTCTCTGATACTGCAATAAGGTATCCTTTGTCTTTTTTTTTTTAATTGTAGTTGACAGGGTCTATCATGGTGTGACTATGCTGGGACAGAAGGCTGGAACAGCAAAATAAACTCCAGGGTACAGGAAACTATTACTCTCTGTAGCATGGCACGTTATTTCCCTACATTGTGTTCTTTTTTTTTTTTTTTTTTTTTTTTTTGTACCAGGGATTGAACTAGGGTCCTTGTGCTTGTGAGGCAGGCGGTGGAACCACTGAGCTAAATCCCTGGCCTCCTTGTGTTCTTTATAAAGATCATAAGACCATCATAAAACCATAAAAGCAGAATGTTTGCATGAAGTGAGAAATTGTTACCAAGTAAAAAAATCTAAATAAGCCCTCTAACTTCATTTGCTTTTAGTCAACCTAAAAATCACTAATTTTGGAGATCATATAGCTGGGCAATACTATATTAGTTTCCCGCTAGCTTTACAGTAGATAACATCTCTGATGTGTTGGTTATAATAATATGACTAGGTTACTTCCTAGGGACTTGGGGTCCACATTTGTTGAAAACAGAGACTCTTCATTTGAGCATGCAGAGATGTCTGATAGGGGAAAAAATGGGATAATTGACTGTAGCAAGTCTAAATTTCCAATTTAGGTTCCTGAACACCCTGTCCCACCCTGTACTTTAATTTATGTTACTTGCTAATATGTCTACCCTGACTACATACCCCATAGTACATCAATTCCTAGTGTGGAGCCTTCCATTCCTTTGCTGTAAAAAATTCACACTTAAAGTGCACAGGGAAAAGAGTATCACAATATTTACCTAAGTACTTGATCTTGGGCTTTAAACCCTTCCCCATGACTACTCATTATGGCACACCAAATTTACCGAGGTCTCAGATATGAGAAACACCAATAGCATTCCAGATGATTTCCTTCTACTGTGTCTGCTAACTGGGAAAAATGAAACTTAAATAACCTAAAGTAAAAGGAATTTATCTTCTTTTACAATGCTGCTTGGCCTCAAAATGTTGTTGACAGCTAAGAAAAAAGGTCTCTCAATGGCTCCAATAGTTTCAACACCATTTTATGTTTAGATCTCTCTATTACAAGAAACAAGAAAAAGAGAAGACCTTTATGTATGAGTATCAAGATAAACAATTAGTCCTAGACATTATGAAAAAAATTAAAAAAATTGGAACAGGTAGACCAAGCCTTTTTCACCAGTGTGGTTTTCAAGATATTCAACAATAGAGAAGGGCACAAGAGGCCAACCAGGATAAACAATTGGCTAAAAAGGCCGTTTTTGGCTTTCTTTGTCTAGTCCTATTGAGGTGAAACTAGGAGAAAACCCTCCCAGAAGTTTAGGACCTGCTGGAGACAGCACCTGAAGATCATTCAGTGTGCCTTCTGTTCCAAGGAGAGTCAATGGCATGCCAGTGATGACTAAGAGGTAACCCAAGCCAAAAGTCCCTCATGGCTCCATTGGAAGATGATTCTTGCCATGCAACGATGGGGCTCAGATTCCCACAAGGCTTCATCTTCAATGTTGGCAGAATATGCAAAAAGCTCAAGCCCCTGAAATCCTTCAGCACTATCATGGGAACAACCACAATGCTGGTTTGCACGGGATGATAGTGCCAAATATATAAGAATTCAACAGCCTCTAGTACAAGTTGACCACGATGACCTGGTGGGCCAAGTCTATCACTAAAAGAAACATCCTTTGGAATTATGCCCCAGGCCAAGGGGAATCACTAGGCCTTAGCCCATACTAACAATCAATAAAGATCTACTGTTCTTTTTGTTTTGAGAGCAGCAGCTTGGTCACTCTCTCAACCAACTACTGACTCCCTTCAGGTGGAGCCCCAATTCATCCAAAGTCCCTCACTACCCTTCCAATAAAGCTTTGCCTTAGCAGGAGTGTGACTGCTTACAACATTTAGCCCCATTTGTTTCTACCACCCCTGGGACAAAAAAATCCTATCATCTAGTATCATAGAGGCTAAAAACATCTATGCTGTTGGGCCATTTCTCTTGATCCTGTTGAATAGCAATCCATCAGAAGTGAGACTGGTAGGTATGTATACTTTTTTTTTTCCGGTACCAGGGATCAAACTCAGGACCTTGCACTTGCAAGGCAGGTGCAGCGCCACTGAGCTAAATCCCCGGCTGGTAGGTTTACTTTTTAATTGAAAGTTTTATGTGGAATCTATGGCCTCTGGCACACCCACCGAGTGGCTATTTCCCCTGAGCCTCACCATCAGTGTGTACTGTTATCTGAATTTTTGTCAGTTTGCTAGATCAGGAACATTACATTCTTAATCTACTTCTAATTAGGAGAAATAGAAAGTGTACTGGGTAGAAAAAAATGATCAAGCTCTGGATGAGTTTCTGATAAAATATTAGCCTTGTTCACAATGATTTTCTTTCCTGTTCCACGATATAGTATGACTCTACTTCCATAGGATAAATGATGGGACCGAGAGAGGATACTTAAACTAAGCAAGGCCATCCAGATTCTCTCACTATGAATTGAGAATTAGGATTCAGGAATGGACAATTGATCTCTAATTGAGGCTAGACTTGTAAATATGTTGGGGAGGAGAAGGCAAAACTTTATCTTTGCCCTTTTAGAGTATTCAGGGGATCTAAGAATTAAATTGACATAAGATAGACTAATGGGGAAAAAAGCATAAAAGTCTAATATAAGTTTTATGTGACTTGGGGCCCTTATAAGAAAATGAAGGCCCAAAGAAATGGCAAAATCTACATGCTTTTTGTATCAGTTTTAACAAAGAAGTAGTTTTGAAAAAGTAACTAAATTATTCAGGGAGGCTAAAAGGAAGATAATTATTACACAAAGTCTATTTGTATAGAATTCTCTGAGCTAAGTTTCCTCACTGAAGAATTTCCTTTTCCTAGTATAGGAAAGTCATCTTCCACATGGGTGTTTTTCTCTTATTTTCAGGAATAAAAGGGAAATTAGACTGTCCTTCTTTTACCTGCTATTTTTAAAGTGCTTTTGGTTTAGAGTAACCCTAATGCCAAAGGGTAAGCATATTCTGCCACTTTGTTTTCTGATAGTCTCACTATGTTGTCAGGTTGGCCTTGAACTCTTAATCCTGTAGCCTCGGCCTCTCAAGTCACTAGGATTCCAGGTGCATGTCACTACACCCAACTTTACCACCACCCTTTTATATGTAAATTTAAGAGTTACTGAGTGGTCAGACTGTTCCATGTGAAGTGAAGATACAGAGAATATCTGGAGAGAGAAATGGGGGGAGGGGAAAGAGGAAAAGAGAAGGGAAGAAGGGAAAAGAGGGAGAAAGAAAGGGAGGGAAACAGGGAGTAGATAGGGAAGCGGGGAGAAAGAGAGACAGGGAGAAAGAAGAGAAGCTGGGCATGATAGCTCATGCCTGTGATCCCATACTTGGGAGGCCGAGGAAGGAGGATCACTATGAGTTCGAGGCCAGCCTTGACTACAAAAAAAAAAAAAAGTCTTGATGCTTCCTGATTCTCTATTCTACTATCTTCCTAAAGCCCTTTTCATGAACATTTCATTTTCAGCTATATTAGCTCAGATTGATTTCTGGTTCTTATAATTAACATGTTTTGCTTTAAAAAGTTCTGTTTTAGTAATTTGCCACTAAAGAATAGAAATTTGCTTTAAATGGAGAATGTTTTTGGCATATTTCAATGACACATAACTTTGAAGTTATTAGTTCATTTTCCTCATTAATATCATCTAGGCAAATTTAGAATATATTATATAAGAGGCCCATTAGGCTTGTATCCATGCAGATGAGTCATAAACTATTGTACTATTGTTCAACTGCTTTTGAGATCAAAAGAGGGATATTTACAGCACAGCCAAAGAACTTTTCTAAATATTTGGTTCTCTTAGCTGCCTCAGCCATATAATTGCCATTATTCATGATAATAAATTCAAAGAGCACAATTAAGTTCTGTGTTCCCCAGGGAAAGAGTTATATAAGTGGTTAAGAACTCACATTCTGGACCCTATCTAGTTTCAAATCCAATTTTCCACATTTTTTCACTTGTGAAATAGGTACCATAGTAGTAGCTATCTCAATGGGTTATAAGGATCCAGTGCACATACTGAACTTGAATATTTTGTGTAATGAATTCTTCAAAACCCTAGAAATTGGCTAATTGTGGGAGACCACCTTGTTGATTATGCCCCAAATAGGCTATAAGCAGTGCAGGCTGTACAGAGTCAACCTAACAATTGGCTCATTTTAAAAAGTGAATCTGACTGAAGCCTATGTGACTCATAGGGGCATTGTGGTGGTGCACAGATTAGCAATTATCCCCCTGCCAATGGCCACATCCAAGCCCATGAAGCTGAGGTGCTCTGATCTGGGATAACACAACAGCCGAGGTCAGAGTGTCTTGTACCCAAACTCTGTTCCCAGAATTGAAATCTTCTTTACTGAAAAGGTAGGTTAATTGTTAACCACAATCTATACCTAGTCTCTTCTGTTCCCAATGCAAGAATGCGTTGCTCATTCTTTTACAAGCCTTGCCTATG